ATCCTCATTTGGTCATGACATCACCTGTGCCTCAAAAAAGCTCTGAACCGTAACGAAAAATGGGCGTTAATGAATTCCTTCGGCCTAAAACATCCCTACTACACTAGTAACCGGTCTTTCCATGACTTCATTTCAAAAGTGTAAAAGCAGCGTTAGGCATCAAGGACATTAAAAATGTTTGAAATACAAGATTGCATATCGCATCGCACAAGAAAAGAGTTGAGTTAACTGTTTGTTTTTTCAAACGAATTATACACACTCACATGTCGATATGCGTATCCTTGTTGTCGGGCTCCCAACCAAGCTTATCCGCAAGAGGTTTCACCTTGGATCTAATAAATTGCTGTCACAAATAAAAAGAGATATTTACTGTACAATATTCGCTACAAAGAAATGAATGCTTTGGCTCCATGAAACACTCAAGGGTGCGTTTCTCTGCCAAATTCCAAATCCGGATTTTTAATCCGAAAACAGATATTTCGTTTCTTTACTAAAATCCACAAACGGATTATTGATCCAAATGATCCACAATGGAGGTGGATTGTTTCGGTCATAACCAAAACCAGATACGTTGGATATATGATCCGAAGCGTTTTCTCCACTACGGATCCGAAAAGAGTGAATATTGCCAGCGGTAACTCGAAACAATTTTCATACATAAATCAGCTGCTCATCTTTAAGGCCATTTTGAACCCGAGGCATAGATGAAACAATCAATTTCATCTGCTTTATCGGGGTGGTAAAATCGCAACACAAACAGGACCTGCATTGTTCTAGTTCAAGAGGACAAAACTGATACACACTTAACTGGCGCGTTTTACAAGATTTTACTTTTACAGTACACTTCTTATTTTAAGAATCGTCTTTGATTTGGCCCGTCAAAAGCAGTATCCTAAAGCTAACCGTCCAGATTACAACGAAAGATCAGCAAACTTGCGACACTGTCAGCAGCCGTGTTATTCTTTCTTCGGGATACCGTCGATGTTGTGGGTCGTCTTTATCGAAATTTTTTGGATACATCGTTTCTTTTCTTAAAGAAAAATCCTAATTATCCGGGTTCTTGATCTGATCTTGGATTTTAGTAAACAAACGCACCCCAAAAGACCTACAACAGGTAACTATGAATAGACCTGAAAATAATTTTACAACACAGAAACAAATTGAAACGATTGCATGAAGGTGTTTGGTTTCAGCCGGGATTCATAATTGGAAATAAATTTACAACAGAAACAAAATTGAAACTGAATAGACTTGTTCACCATCACAATTTTCCAAAAAAGAAGGGTCTCTTAGTCCTAAAAAGTTACGCCTTAAGTAAAATCAGATAGGGAACAATGTTCCACAGTTTTATTTCCGAGAGAATCTAAAATTAGATTTAAATTTTGATGGGGTTAGTAACGTGCGGCTTTTCACTCGATTTCCAACCGAAGCTTCTCTTCACATGTCCCTAGTTATCCAATGAATTCCAAACGCAAAAAGTATCACATAATGTACGTTTGAACATTAGAAACAATAATATAGTAAAACCTGAAAGTATCCATTTCCCCGCCTGTCACTGAGAATGTCATCCAGGAAGCCCAAGCTGTTCAGTGCAGTCCTCCAAGGGACGTACTCGGATTCCTTACTCAAATACTTCAAGGTACCCAGGGCAATGGTGTAGTCCAAGTACCCGGCTCTGATAGGAATGTCACAAAATAAGCCACTAGATTAATTTGTAACAACACTTATTTAACAATACCCAAAGTAAAACAGTGAATGGTTTGAGCCGAGGAGTCACACCATTAGTAGGTATATGATCTTCCAAGTGAGGAAGTCCTGAATAGGAATGTTGATGACGGTGACTGACGTTTTGACAGTTTGTGTTATATTGAGAGTTAAGGCGATTTGTATCTCGTCAGTTGATGGTATTAAACTCTGCTTATAGAACACTAGTGATATTTTCATGTGAAACCTAAGCGATGAAGCCGGGGAAGACGATGAGTGCCGCCACCATGATCCTAAACATTTTGCCTGAAGTAATCCTCTAAAGGTAGAGCTAGTTTCATACAGTTGAACCTCTCCTGCTGCCTCAACAGCTACCTTGGGGACAGAAGAAATTGCCGCTGTACAGAGGTCTGGACAAGAGTAAATGTATAGATTGTCCGCCAAAGAAAAGTGGCCTTGTGGACAGATGGCCGTTGGTGAGGGAGATATACACATTTCAAGGCTGCAAATATTTTTTTTAATAAGCAGGTCATTTGTCAGGTCAGAGACCAGACCTGACCTGACATGGAAACAGTCTGGTCGGACAAAAAAATTCCAAGTGAAAGACCAAAATTAAGAATATAACAAAACAACCTATTTCACTGCTTTAATTGCACAATATTAATCACAGACAGGAGCTGTAACAGTTGTATCAGTTCACTGATCAGTCTTCACTGACTTCGCACTTGAAAACAAAAATTATACAAAAATTTAATTCTGATTTACTTTTCGATAGCAGTTTATTATTTTTTGATTGTCAATGTGTGTGTTAGCTAAATAACGGAACAATGTTTTGCCACAAGTGTCTTTAAAGTATGATAATTAAAAGTTTAATTTGGATCAAAAGTGCCCGGTCATAGTGACAGACCAGACTAATATTTCGCCAGTCAAAACGTCAAATTTACCGGACAATTGTCCGATGACCGACTGTTATTTGCATCCTTGCATTTGGAGTAAAGTTTTATTGTTCCCATACCCAAAACTACCAACGCCTTCATTTCAGCTGTTTGTAATGTTTAATATTTGATTGCGGATTTGTTACGAATCACGAGTAGGAATAAATTACAAACAAACCTTGCCAAGTTAAAGGCATCATCAATTAAACTCGATCTGTCCTCTGCAGTAAAAACCTGTGAAAATAGAGTGAAATCCAGTCACAATGAATACCGTCCAAACATTGATTTCTAGTCGCAGATTTTGACAACCCTTTGTTCCATATTCATAAGAGTGTCATGTAAGTAAACAGTTCCAAGTTACACACAGTAATTTTTTAGGGAGTTATTATAACTCCAAAAAAGGAGTAAAAATTTAAGGTCACAATTTGGGGTTACTTTAACTCCTCGATATTAACTTCAAATCTGGGGTGATTTTTACTCCTGAAAAAGAGTTCTTTAAACTCCTTTTTGAAGTTAAAATAACTCCACAGTATGGAGTTAAATTAACCCCTCTAGAGGAGTTATTACAATTCCTTGAAAAGTACTGTGCAAGTTCATTTCAAGATAGCTAAAAGTTTGTATCGCTTCATAATGAGTAGCTTCAAAATACTCGTAAAACGAAGTACTCGGGGGGGGGGGTAAAATGATTGGACCTTCAGCCTCAGGTTTGTCAGTTTAAGTACTGTTACCAGGGTTCGCACACTTTTTTGAACCAAAAATTCAAGGACTTTTCAAAAGAGAGCCCTGAGTCTATGTTTTTTTAAGCTCTTCCACAACATGAGCAATTGTATCCTGAAGGTCTTTCTGTGTTTGCTGAGTTGGATAAAGTTAGAAACGAATTTCAAGGACTTTCCAGCACCTACTACAATTTTCAAGGACTTTCAAAGTCTTGAATTTTTACTTTCAAGGTGAGTGTGAACCCTGTGTTACAAGATGTAAGGACCTTTACCTTAAATGTAATTTTGGTCTGTGACAATGAATTTTTCCCCGAAGCCGTATACTTTTTTTCTTGTTGCCTCACTAACATAAAAACACATTATCTTTATACTTACAAACTTTACTAATTCCAACCAGCAATACCTACATTACCTCAAAACTCCGATTCTACCTCATCCACGAACTCTTGTGGTTAAAAAGGAATCACATTTAAGCTGACTACTACTGTATGAGGACCACAAAGTTTGAACATCGTAGGATATCTAACTTACATCTATTATTAGTAACAATTTATTTTTACTGTTGTATTCTATTCTTATATAACTAACCAAAGAGCACAGAATAATATAATGAATTCAGTAGTAGTTGTATGGTCGATGTATTACTACAGAAAAGCTAAGAAATCCACTACCAACCGTATGATCTGTGTTAAGTTGTTTAATAAGAGCATTCCAGTTGTCATTGTCATAGTGAACTCTGTAGAACCCAACTTGTTTGAAGTTTCCTTTGATCCATTTATCAACAGGCCAAGTAAACTCAACTAAAGAAAACAAACCAGCAATGTTGTAGACGTAGAATTAAAAGTGGAAAAAAGTGATAAAGTAAATGAAGACAACAGGTATGTCCACCTAACTTTGTATTCTAGTGAGGTTAGAGAAAAAGAGTTGTGAGGGGTGTGTGTCAAAACAAACGGGGTTTGAAGCTAAAAAATGAGGTCGATATAGGAGCCCATCGCGTCTGGGGGTCCATCGGGAGCCCTGTAGGGGAAGGACTTAGAAAAATATATCTATAGGGATGGGTTACATTGAGATGATCCGATCATCAAGATCATGGTACATCAAAGGAACCGATGAATCCCTCCTGGGAAATTATTCATCGCTCCATTTAAATCGTCAAGATCTGAGTGATCTCTGATCCGGATCATCCCAATGGAACACACTCTTCGCGAACACGTTTAACCATTTTATTGCGTTTGCCGTTTTACATTGGATATGAGGCACGCTTCACATAAACAACCAACGCGAAAGCGCTTTTTTATTACGCCTTTCTGTTACTTCTTCGGTAAAGGAAAAACCGTTGAAGTATTTGCAGCTTAAAGAACTCTTAATCTTCTAGAGCTGAATTGTTGAAAAGGGGGGGGGGGGTGGGGTGGGGGAGGATGTCGGAAGTATTTCTCGCTTATTGTGCGGTTATTAGCAATGGCGTGTTTCAAGAAATCATGATGGGAAAGCCCAATGCCTGAAAAAACGCTCAACAATTCGTTGAATGGCTGCCTTAATTTCGTTCAGTACAAAAAGTGACGACGACCGACGACGAACGGCATACCGCAAGTTAAGCTGTTTGCTGTGAAACGTGGCGCGCAAAAATCTCTTCTACGAGTTCGTCTAAGAATTTTAACTGGAAAATGATATTCTCGATAGCGCTTTCTTAGTCCTAAAGCTTCTAAGGCTATTCAACAGATTCAACCGGTAAAGCTTTCATCGTTTTTTAGCAGATTCAACCAGTAAAGCTCTCGTCGTTTTTACTTGACAATTCGCTAACCTCATTGATAAGTACTGGAAATCCTTCTCTGCTCCGATTGGCTGAAGTGTTTCTGGCGAATAGCTTTAATAGCTTAAAACCTAACACACCGTGATCCCCGCCTTATATGGGAGATGGACGCTCCAGGCTGATGGCAGCCTCATTTACAGGTTTCTCTCCTACCCGTTTCCCGAAGAGAACCCTGGGAACAAAATTGAGCTGATGGTCGAATTGATCACTCCAGAAAATACCATAACATACCATAATGATCTTTGTTTGTTACCCTGAAATATTGCAAAAGCATTGTTTTCAGTTTCTCTTGTGGCCGTTCTAATTCCCAAGAGAAACTGAAGACAAAGCTTAGGCAAAATTTTGGAGTGACAAACAAAGAGAATTACGGTACGTTATAGTATTTTCTGGAGTGATCAATTGTGTTATAGAATCACTAGGAACTTGATTGGCCCATTGCTACATTGACGTAGCAGTTATAAACATTACAAAACTCATTTCACAGAAAGAACTGTATCTTTTATCAAACCTTGATCAGATGAGATGTTCATCCAAATAGTTTTGGGATCTTGGGATGATCCTTCAAAAACGTATGTCAGAGGAACGTACCATCTGTAACTGCAATATTAAGTGAACAAAGTCTGATTTTCAAATAAACGATAGATAATGGCGATTAATAAAGCTTTAGACTACGTATTTTGTACTTTCTGTTAAGGGTGCATTATCAATCTTTACTTGGAAATATATCGACCGTTTTACAAAACACTTTCAGAGTAAGTAGGAAAGTTAACCAAACAAAAGAGAAGACAGACAGGTCAGTCAATTCAGTTCTGGTCCTCAGACTGTACACACTCTCAAATTGAGAACTTTTTTTTGTTCAGGTAAAAAGGTGAACAAGACGTGCGAAAGGAAAACTAAGAAGGGCTGATTTGTTTATCTGATACTATGTTTACACCAAGAAGATTTTTTTGGGGGGGTACGTGACGAAAACCGAGAAATTATTTTTTGGAACCGGATTCCCGGAACGTTTTGCTTTCTACACGCCATGCTGGAGAGCCGAAGTTGCACTGGGACACAAACAAATTACTAATTACAATTTTAAAGGATGAGTGTTCTTTAACTGTCTTGTCCCAGTACGTCTATTGCTCTCCAGCATGGAAGTTTTGTACCACGTGATTGACTAGCTGAAAAGGGTCTATTTCACGCTCACTAACGTACGCTAACTTTCACTGCTTGGAAGTAAAAAGACGGAATTTGTGCATTTTCCAGGAAACTGAGCCTGAGTTCTCTGTAATCTCCTCTTGAGACAGCCACCCTTTGTCTTCCCACATAAGGATGGTTCTCCCAACAGAGTAGCTTGGTGGGATGACAACAAAAACGGCTCATTAAACTACGCATGACTTCTGTTGTAGGCTGTCATAATATCGTACCTTTGTTTATTGGACACTCACTTGAATGGTGATGATTCTTTAACCACAGCATTAGGGTCTAGGAGGAAATGTTTCTGCTTTGCTATGGCTTTGTTTGTTTTTTTAACACGTTTGATTGTTACTACAGGGAATCCCATTTGAATTGTCCATGTGTCCATGATGGTCTTGACATCCATACCTGCTTTCTATTGAACAGAAATAACAGTTGGCCAGTTATCTCAGTCCTCTTTGTTTTCACTAACGTTCCTTAAAATTATAGCTGGTACAGGAGCCGATTACGCTGGTACCAACATCACGAGTAGGAATTTTGATTAAGAACCTATGCCCAGTTGCTTCCCTTGTGATGTTTCTGATACTTGATGTGAGTCCTGTTGCGTTGCAAGCAAAGACGTTTTTGAGCGTCATGCACGTCAACTGGAAGTGAGGTCTTTTTCATTTGACGCTTCCAAATTTGTATTTCTAAGTGTCTTTTCTATTTATAGAGACGATATGTCCACTGTACCCAAACATTTCGGCAAAACCACCGTCCAAATATGGAAAAAGACCACTTCCGGTTGACCTGCATCGCTCAAGGCCTCAAAAACGTCTTTGCTTAAGCTCACTACTTGCTAAACGGTGAAGCACGTGTCCCTCCTGAGTCACAGGAGATCAGCAACATGAAAATGAAAACTGCTTCTTGGTTCTAAGGAAGGCTAAAAATCATATTTCAAGGTGAAACCGCACAGGAGTTAGCCTTTGCGGCTTGCTACATTCTTGAAAGTGTGAAAACAAACTATTCATGGAAGGGGGGTGTGACGGAAGAGGGGCCCTTTGCCTGTTAGCACTCCCTTCCCCTTTGAATACCTGCCTTAAGCCTGATAAGAATAGCCAACAAGCAGAGGGATATAGGGTCTCATGCTTGTCATTTCATCTAATACATTATACTATAAGCTACCTCAACCCATGCAATGTCATTTCACCACCTTGTGTCACTGGGTGCTTCTTTTGCTTGTGCACGCCCATTTTCAACCCTCTTTATTGATATGTGTTTTTCTTTTCTGAGGGGGAGGGGGGAGGGGATGTGTTTTTCTTTTCTGAGGTAAGAGGGGATATATGTTTTTCTTTCTTGAGGGGAAGGGAAGGGATGTGGGTTTTACTTTTTTAAGAGGGAGGGGATAAAACTTAACATCTGTAAGAGAGAGGGTAAAACTTGATAGTTTCAATGACTGATAAATGACCATTCCAATGACCCTAGTTATTTGGAGACACTTTTCAAATCAAAAATGGATTTTAAAAGTGTTGATTATAATGATAACTGCTGACATTCTGTTATTCTACTTACCTCTCCCAAGGCATTCCAAAGGTCTTTAGTTTCGGCATTCTTAAAGGCATACTTCCTCAAATAATACTGTATGTATTAACAAAAGGTAAAATAAACTTCTAAATTTAAAAAAGCTCAATTAATTAAATTCAGATCTAAAAAAAAATGGCTACATAACAAATTCTTGTAGTTTTTTACAAATTATACATACACTAAGTCCCTCCTTGAACTTTTCCCTGCCAACAAAACCTTCAAGCATCCGAATAATGGAGGAACCCTGCAATAATAAAAATTGTGACATATATGTCTATGAAATTTCATAAACCTTTAATTATTACTAATAAATGTAGAAGTACATAGAAAAGGCTTGATTACCAGTCACTGTGCAGGAGGACTGGATGCAGGAAAGAGGCAGAAATCCAGGGTAGTTACATAGAAAAACAAGAACCCAAGTGGTTGTCCTTCTTTCCAGAGCCACGTGCGGCAAGCGAAAAAGTAGAATTATGCAAATTTATGGTTAAAAGGAGGAGAAATTAGGGCAGAGAAGGCCTTGGCACAGGCTTCCGCCTTGTTCCTTGCCGCTTTAATTTGCTGCTTGCCCCTCAGAATCACTCTCAATCTATGTCAAAACAAAAATTTTAAGACTGCTCACAGTCTATATAAAAACTAGCTTCTTATTAAAACTTTAACAACTATACCTTGCTATATGAAATTCTGTCAAATAACTGTTTGATCTTCTTAGGATGATCAACTTCAACAGATATAGGATGAGAACTTGCTAATGAATCCAATGGGAAAACATTCTGAAGATCATAAAGGAGGAATGCCTCCATCTGTAAAGTTAATACACCAAAAATGAACATTACAATCAAAAATTAAGTTACATCTTGTATTATTGGTGTACAGGTCTTCTGTTATAATTACATGTAATTGACTAACCTGTAGGTGATGAGCTTGGTTAAAACTCAGTTAACCACTTGCTGAGTTACAGCTCCAGTATACTTTAGAGGCCTCATTTTTGTTTAAAAAAAATTAGTTTTCATATATTTCAACTACGTTTGTTATTCAGGTTTCTTACATTAACCCATTTTGTCCCTGAGCCACCTTAAATGGTAGTTTTGGTTCATTATAGCCAGACAGTTACCACAAAACAGCTTGACTAGCTGTAAAAGGTGGTTTTTGGCACAATTCCCAAGAGTGAACGGGCTGAGCAATGTAAAGTACCACGTTTTCTGAGAAAATCCAATTTTGATCGTAAAAACAATGAAACCAAATCTGGCCACTCCATGGCCATAAGCCCCTGAACCACCCATGCGGATCCACATCAATTCTACTGCTTGTGATGTCATCAGTTTCAATGTTCAAGGACAACTTTGTCAGCTAATGTGGAGCAGAGTGAAGAGATCTTTCAAACCATAAAAGAATGAGCCAGAGAAAAAGGCGAAATATCATGAAAATATATTGACCTGCAAAATTCTCATGAAAATCTTGTAGAGGAAATTAGACATACAGATATTGTCATTGGTCCAAACAATAAAATTTCAACTGTACTTATGTTGTAAGAAGAGACATATCATGTACATGGCCCTTATTGGGGAGCTTTAGCACTAATGATGGTGACCGCAGCAAAAATGTTACTTTTAAAACAAATTGGCGGTTTTATAAACATAATGTCACGTTTATTCCCATTCACTAAAAATGTCCAATGTAGGTGAATTTTAAAATTATTTCTTAGGGACCCCACTTGAGCGAAAGAAAACTTGGTCATCGCTTGTTTCCATCCTCCATTATAAAGCATGAAATTACTAGGCATTTTCACATTGTAGTTGTGCAGGGATGGCAAAGAAATGTACAAAAAAGTGTGCTGTACATGCAAAGTTGTTGTAATTTGTTGCTTAACAAGCCCATTGCTTTTTTGACATTCTAAGTTGCCACTGCCGTCATATTTGCTAAAGCTCCCTATATTTGACTAGTATGGGAGATTACAGCTACCACGCATGTATGCTCACCATTTGCCAGTCTGGGTGGGTGTAGTTCACTCCAAGGTACTCCACAAAACTGGCAAATCCTTCATTCAGCCACAAGTCATTCCACCACTTGGGAGAGACAATGTTTCCAAACCACTAAAAAGTTTTTAAAAATCACTTATACATGATGAAGGAATAACAAAGCCAAATACAGCTAGTACTGAAATTATACAGCTTTCAATGTTGTAAAAAACAATACAAGGAGTGTTTCATGAGGAATTAGTTTTCCAAGTTTAGCTCATGAAGTAAGTTGTTTTGACACATTATTAAGTTCAGGCCATAATGACCAGTGTTTGTGAAGAAACTAGAGGAGGGCATTCTGACTTGTGTGAATTAATTTTCTACTTTTTGTATTATTCCTGTTGTACATTTTTGCCATGATTATAACTGTAACACAATTCTCCAATCTTACTGGCTATTGGCAGCCTGATTTTGGCAGGGACCGTCAGCACGATGTCACCCCTAAGTAAAATGGGTGGGACAGTTGCTCTTGAATGTGCTCTTTTTTTCTCGTGTTTAAAAGTAAAAAACTCTCAAGAGATGTTAACTTCTGTTTTGATTGAAAAATGATCAAATCTGATAATTTTTTTGTATACAGTGTATTTTTGTTCCATACCTGATGAGCTAGTTCATGTGAAACCACAGTAGCAACCCTCTTTTTATTGCTCTCAGAGGATACACCTTCATTGAACAGTAATGCTGTCTCTCGATAAGTGATCAGTCCCCAGTTTTCCATGGCTCCAGACGAGAAATCAGGGATGGCAATCATGTCTAAATAAATTTTGTTATAATATACATGTGTATGGGTGAGTTTTCTATTATGATAAGTGCATTAATATTAACAAATTATATACATGTAAAACAGCTGTAGGTCACTTCTTAAAATAACTGCTTGCAATAATATATTACTCGCATATTGTTAATCTCATGAACATGATGAAAGCTGTCGGTTTTTGAAAATTTGGTCATTAATAGGTTAAGTGTCATAATTATGATACCAAGCCTTTTTGAACTTCGTAGTGACAAATATGTTGCTATGACTAATGAATCTGGTGGATATCACACATATATAATGACAATCTACATGAATGCTTAATATTTGCATGTACACCGTAAACAGGTTTCAAGAAAGCAGCTAGTATCCTTTATTCCCATCAAAAAGTGGAGAAAACGTAGAATGAAAATTAACTCTGAAGAATATCTTGCTCCCTATAAAGCAAGCTAATCAAAAGTGAAATTTACATATTTTGGTTTACTTCAAAACCATATATATTCTATATGTAATTATTTAAAATATGTTTACTTAGTTAAATGTATTGTTAGCTCATACATATATATATTAATTAGCACTTATCCTGGAGAAAAAACGAGTGGATAACTTGACTTGCATTTGGGCCAGGAAAAAGGAGGAGACTACATTAACAGGGTGGTCTAACGCAGGAATTTACAATACATTAATACAATAATATTATTACAATACAATACAATAATTTATTTAAAGCGGAAACATACACTTAGCTCTATGGATGAGTCAGGACACAGCCAGCGAGCCATGCATTAAGAAATATACAAAAAAATTGAAAAAGCAGTTATACGAAAAAAAATAACCGAAAGTATACTTTTGAAAATGAGTGTTTAATGCCAAAAAGCCCCTAAACCTCATGCGTAAAATAAGTTTTTAGCCGTAAACAGCACTTAAACCTAATCTGTATTAAGCAATTTAGTAAAATGAGGGCTTACCCTAATCAGCGAAAGCCCATCAATACTGCGTAATTCTGCAAAAATTCCATCAGCAAAACCTCCGAACTAAGCAGGAAACATTTTTCATGCATTTATAATTCCATAAAACTCTATTTTTTCCCATGGCTCACATGGCTTAATGCTGGCTCGCAGATCGTCCAGATCCATATATGGACTTAGAAAACTTGGCACCAGCTAATTTACAGGTATGCCATGTACTACAAATAAAATCAATAGAACACTTTAAAATTTACTCTTCAGCTAACTGGCCAAGCAAGTGTATTACTGCACTTCTCACCCTGCTTGGGAAGTGGATAACCCAGGTTATAGTATTGCTCATAGTATGTAATGATATCCTTGCCAACACCCAGTGCATACTTAGTTTGGTTCACCTGAGCTGGAGTGGTCCACACTCTGAGCTGCAATAAAATATGCATTAAACAATAGTCAGTGATGAATAGTTAAAAGAGCATGTAGTTGTTTTATTTTATTATTTTTTGTAAAATAATAATAATAACCAAAAAAAATAGTCAATGATGAAATGTCCTAATTTTGTGAAAATAAAACTTCCACCCATTTTGGTGCGAAGATGCATGGTGCTTCAAAAGATAAACCCCATATAAGCATTGCTGAGAAATGACTCAGGCAAGGTAGATATGAACATACATTGTTGTATGGATTTATTAATTTCTTTACAGAGCCTGAGCAGGGGACAGGACAGGTAACAGCTAGTGTACACTGTGTTACAGTAACATGGCAGTGCAAATGATGCCAAACTATTAAACCCAAAAAAGCTCCTATGAGGATATATTATAGCCGGTCCCAAAAAAGAGTCCATAAACTTATATAGTAACCCAATAGAAGTGTCACTGGATTCTTTTCTTGGCATTTTTTGATGCATCAACCTTAAACCTACACTAGCTGTTCGGGTACAATTTTAGTCCATAATCCTCTGGTAACCCGGCTCCAAAAGGTCCTTGCAAAAAAAGGTTCACAACAAAATACCCAACCAAAAAAGGGTTCTGATTTAATAATGTCAAGGTTTCTTGCACAGGTCAGGAGAGCAAGTCTCTGTAGCCTAGGGGGTAGTGGTACTCCAAAAAAAATTATATGGGGAGGCTCACCATGAGATCCAACCCTTACCCTTTCATCATACCGTTCTTGAAGCCTGAAAAAGGTACCCCTTTCAAGAGCAACCTCCCCATATAGTTCATTATAAATAGGGAGCAACCTCTCCCCCTTTGGCTCTGTAGATTAACTTATAGGTTTTATTAGGAAGATTGCTCTCCTCTAGCTGTAGCAGGGTGACTTTGTTCTATAGAAAGAAACCTGTAAAAAAAGCTAGCCAGAATTGTCTGTGGAACTGCAAAAGTTATTAACTGACCCGCACTTCTAGTAAATACATCCTTTCAGCCATAAAATCTACAAATTCCTGAGGAACCTAACCCAGGATTCCCCGTTTACATAAAGAAATGGTGCAGGGGGCCAACATTGTTCTAATACTATACCACGGCATTGAGGCAGTGCAGCACTGCCACCCTTTTCGGGAAATCAGCCGAACCATAATTAGCCCAAGGGGTCACGAGGGTGCAAAGAAGGATAAAAAACCTATTACAAAATGTACATAAACAAACGTACACAAACATAAATTTCCTTATAATATATATAAGCAAAAATTTAATTAGTTATGATATCTCTAGAAAACACCCAATCAGTTGAGTTTAAGCTGTATCTAAAACTTGTGACCCCCTTTTCTCCCTCATGACCCCCTTTCAGCTTCTCTATGGGTCATGTGGACCCCAGTGTAGAAAATCCTGGTAAGAACACTGGGTCAAATAATTGTATATCTCCAAATAAGAACTGTTTGGACTTACTGTTATGTTATTAAATACTCCAGTAGTTGTATTTGTGTACTTGAAGTCACAGACAATAAATGCCAGTAGATAAGTGGACATAGGAACAGACCTCATAAAATATGAAGCTACTCTTCCATCTGGCAAATTTTCTGATCTTTCTTCAGGCATATTTGACAGAGCTGTGTAGTCTTTATCATGAACAATCACAGTTGAAAATGTAGCTTTCATCTCTGGTTCATCAAAACAGGGGAGGGCCTTCCTGGCATCTGTTGGCTCAAATTTTGTGGTTGCAAGACGTCTGCAACAATATATTATTAGGGACTTTAAGATCCAATGATGCAGACGGCAACGAAGGACGTAAAAAAAAAACAATAGTTTTTATAGGCAAAACTGTCAACAACTTTGCACGCTTTTTTGTACATTTCCCTGCCTGTTTTTACAGGACTACAACACGAACATTCCTAATTTCATGTTTTATGGAAGACGTAAACAAGCAATGACAAAATTTTATTTCTCTTTCTGCACTTGGATATGGTCCCTAGGAATTCAACTCCAGGAGGGTTCACCTACATTTGACAAAATAATTAAGTGGGTAGGAATAATTGCAAGATAAAGACTGAAAGAACGCAAATTCCCTTTTCAAGCAAAGCTCTCATTGCCGTCGTGTTGTTGGATCTTAAAGTTCCTATTAACCAGTTCAGTTGAGAACTTACTGCAAGTTTACAAGTGAAAAGTGATGTAGGCGCAGTAAATGCAATGAATCAACACAGTCAATATTTGTGGAATATATTCTTCTTGAGTAGAAACATTCAAGTTAGCTGGAGCTCATTGGAGAAGACAAAACTTTACCATAATCGACCAGGAGACACATAAAATCAAACAAATTTACATTTGGAACCCCATGGCTACTGGATTAATTATGTAAACATTGATTTACCTCATTACTATGGAATTTCTGTCTGTAGCTTAGGCACAGACATCTCACCTGGCGAAAAATCGCTAGCAACAAGCAGAGATTGCTGTTTCCACAGTCTAGTAATGTGGACACTTGGTTCTGTCCCTGGCCTTTGATGTAAAGCATTAAGGGGTTTGGACTTTAACCTAGCCTGTTTGAAGCCTTAATTTAGAATGTGGGAGAAACCACAAAGAAATTTTAATGCAAGCCACTCTCCCCTCCCTCAATACTTTTTGGAGTCTTTAACCTGTGCACTACCTGACTAAAATTTCATTCATGTTTCTTTTAAGTAGAGCTCCTACCCCATCTTTTCTTGATGTCCTTGGATTTTGTTGGTACCTCCATGTAATGCAACACACTCTGATAATCCAGGTGTGAATGTATGAGTGGGAGTCCCTTGGGTATCCATGGACCCTCTTTCCTATTTAACTCGGTCCCCCTTCGGTTCCTCCGAATTACACCGCCCCCCACCCCACACCCATTCTATATCTGTCACTGTGTTCTGCAAGAGTTATCGTGACAATGTCGGAATGCAGTGGGTGAAGATTAGTCTCACGCGGAAGCAAATACCTACCTTGTTTCATTGTTTTCATTCTTGTAGGTGCTTATGTACAGGCCATTTAGCTGACTTGAAAATGTGGAATTATAGGCCATGTCCAGCACATACTGCCCAATTTCAAGGTCTTCCTCCAGCTCGAAAACAAAGAAGTCATTTTTGGGGTATACGAAGACCCTCTTCAGCGCCAATTCATCGCCTGGGGAAGCTGTGTTTGGTTTTGCATCTAGAGCACGCTTAAAAACTTTTGCTCGAGTCACATTCATGTCGTTGATGTGAATGAGTATGAAGGACATGTAAGCTGATTTTGCGGTTACATCGATCAAGACGGAGACATTTCCTTTAAAAGTATTTTTCTCCAGGTCGGGATCTAGATAAAAGTCGTAGTGGATGGGAAGAATATTTTGCGGCAGCCTGACTTGATACCATGGCTCAGGTCCCGTTGGTTCAGTGGGCGCCATCGTTATCGATGTAGGCTCGTCGGTAGCTCTCACTTTCTCTCTTTCCTTTCTTTCCTCCAATGCATCTCTTCGTGCCTGCCTAGCGCTCAAAATTCCCGACAACACTCCAACAAAGATGATAAGAACGATCACAATAACAACCAGCACGATTGCTTTTGTTCGCGTGATCGTAAATACTTTGTTCGAATCTTTATGATCATCTCCACCGTCTGTGTCGCTTTTCATTGGTAGCTCTTCAGAATACATGTTTCTGTCCCTTGCTTTTGGAATATTTCAAGAAGAAACCAATCGTTCAATAGCTAAGCGTCTTATCACAGACGATGCGCCAAGCCAAGCGATTAAAACATGAACCCAGACACATGTAAAACTTTGTGTAAACACCGAAATTAAAACAACAATCACGTTGATGTCATCGGCCACCATTCTGGCCAATCAGAGAGGAATTTGTTAAAAGAGCGGGAAAGGAAAGTACTTGACCGCGGTCAAAAAAGAGATAAAAGAAATTATAAAAGACACGAAAACAGGTCCATCTCAGCTTTTCTAATACATTGCACGTCATTTTTCACTAAGTTTGATGACTGAAAAATGAAAACTAGTGAACTACATTGTTCGAAAATAAAATAGGACAAAATAGAAAGCCAATGCTGACGGTTGAAATACGGTGCGTCCAATCATGGTTAATTGAGTGGAATGGTTATGAAACCCGCCAGACTCCTTTGTTATATGTTTTTGTGGACCTGAAAGTGCACAACGTTCAAAAATTTCGTGCTCGATTTTTCCTTTCTCGACTTTTTTTCTCGAATTCCTTATTCTTATCATTTTGATTTTGAAAACAATTTTTTAAATTGACCAATAAAAACGTTGCATTAATTTATTCCGTAACAATTTGCCAACAGAAAACAAAGGATTGTGCACTTTCACGGTGCTTTGAACATAAACTGCAGCACTGTTGTTTTTATCACTGATGTTTGCCGCTTTTCATAACCAGTCTCCTCTAATAACTATGGTCCAATCAAGTGTCAAATTTTTTATTTCCAATTTTAAATGCAATTCAACAACAGAAGAGGTCAATCAACAATCTCGACTTCCTTTATCTGTTGAAAATTCGGCCAATGCACAACCTTATTTTACGTTAAATATATCTTCTAATTGAATTATAAAATTAAATTTTAAGTTGAAGCCTTGAAACTGCGACATATGTGAAGACAGGGGATATGACGACAAACGACACAAAAAAGGGTTGAAACTGCGACAGCGACGAAAAAAATGCTACAGCGCACATACAACAAACGACGAGTTTTGAATTCAGACTGAGGACATACGTACACGGATCTACAAGGGCGTCCTAAATTACCTTGTCGCATACCTTGTTAGTGTTGTTTTCTTAACAATACTGAATAGCCTGGTTAGAAGGACTTTGTTCATGAGAGTACACCCAAAAATTTTACTGCCCTAATGTCCAGCACATGCCATATACATAAAGATTTAACCACGGAGTATCCCCAGAGGCAGGAGGGGGCGAGGGAAGAAAGAATCCGAGAGAACCCTAGCATGGAAACGATGTCACCACAGTGTAACCCCTGCACTTCACCTTCGTTTTAATAGATCTATTTGGCTAACTCAATGTTGTACCCAATTCAAACCCTTTCGTAAAAACGTTTTGTTTCAGGCATTTCCATATCATTTACATGTGAATGCCACGTAATAATGCAAATACAATACACAAAGAATCTTAACCCTTGCGAGATTTGGGTACAACATTGAGTTAGCCAGATAGGTCTATTTGTTAGACAGGGGCGGATCTAGGGGGAGGGTGCAGGGGGTGCACACCCTCCCCTGAGATTACCTGCGGTTTTCTAATACAACTGGTATTCTGCAAAAAAAAAAACTATGTGGTTTATTGGTGTTGAAGTAGAGCAAGAGACGAGTGCACCCCCTCCTAAAAAAAATCCTGGATCCGCCCCTGTTAGACCAACTAGTCTTGTTAAAAATAGTGTACAGCTGTTTTCAGTAAAATAACCACAACCACTTTTACTGATATAGCAATGAGAAAATTTATTTATGGCATCCCTTGACAACAGAGAATAGCTTGCATGTTGCAACAGCCCATAACACGCTCAGCAAAGAAGCTCTAATCTTTCCTAGTAACTAAACATACAGAAATTAATGCATAACAAAAATTTACAAAACCTCGTTTTATTATATACTGCATAATGAAGAGAAAAAACTGTGAACTTTTCCATGTTATCAATCGGTCATACATTACTTTACATACAATTGGACTCTCTCATTGTTATCAGTGTTAATGTTATTTTAATAGGTACTGTACAAAATATGAATTTCTGTGATAATAACTTTATTTACCCACCCCACCCACCTCAAAAGCATTCTCATGCAAGAACTAAATTAAGGCCAAGTTGTTCCAAGACCCATTAGCTTTACTTCTGGGTTAACTGTAACCAAGGTATATGAGTTGTCAAGACAACTGCCCCTGGGTTAGTGTCAATTATCCTTTCAAACAACTTGGCCCAAATGTACAGTACAGTTCTCCTTACCCTCACAATTCTGCATGTATTTACCAAAAAACTAGTGAAAACTCACAGAGAAATTAATTTGCAACCTCAATCAATGACAGAATATAAAACATATTCCTCCAAAATAATTAAATACATGTAATAAGGACACAGTGAAACACAAACTCGCTTAAATGATATAATTTTCACAAATTTAAAAAACTATATTGGTTTACTTATTACACACAGGAAAGAGTAAGGAGAATGAATAATTACTGAAATATTTGACAAGTTATCATAGACTAAAACTAGTGAATTAGGGTGAAAGTGCAGAACAGAACGGTTCTTAAAATTGTGTGACCTGCCTTACACATAAGAATTTTACCGAAAGGCCACTTTGAAAAATTTGATTTGGGAAAAATTCAACTGAAGGATTCCTTAACAATAATTATCATTTCTGTAACAATTATTACAGAAAAAGATATGGCAAGTTGACTACATGTACTCTGATTTCACAGAATCAAAGGGTATGATAGCTTGATAATCCTACACATCAACAAGTATCGTTATATTCCTAGACTTTCACTCAACTAAACAGTGACTGCCATTGGTTGATTCTTAGTCACGTGGCCTTGACTAAAATCAAATGTATCCTGATTGTGATGCATTAAGCAATGTACCCCCCTCGGGATACATTGCAGCATGTGATCAAAGCATGGTGGAAAGTGGCATGACAGAAGACGGGAAATACACTGCCAGTTTTCTTTTTCATGAATGAACACAATAACCCAAACATGAAACCTCAAGCTAAAAAGGAATAATTTAGTTATTCCAGAAAAGAAACAGCAGCTAGTGGAGGAAACAGATGCAGATAATATGAGGAAAGTACTTTGTAAATCATTCATTAAGTGGTTTTGAGAATTAAATTTGTGTTGTTATAAGTACCGAGTCAACTATTTTGGTTCGCAGGCCGGTTATTCTTTTGTTGCTGTTGAAGTGAAAGTCTAGAAACTTAATGTCAGGTCCCTCGGGAAACCAGTTAGTTTTGTTTTCCCTCAAGTCCTGATGTTTCCCGAGACAAAAATCTTGGGGAAACAAAACTAACTGTTTCCCTTGGGATCTGACATAAAGTGTATAATTATCATTGTCAAATTCTTCAAAGTGGCTTATCCATAAACATTGACAAACTGATGAAATACAAGTATTTTAAAGCCTGCTACACGACCAGCAATCTTCTGTGCATTTAAAAGAAAGTTGCATGAATAAAGACAAGCATTAATAATATTTTAGTCTGATCAAGCTATGTACACCTGTTTTGCTGTGCAACAATACCTTGCTCTGTAACATTGGTTCAAGCATGAGACATTTTAGCTAATTTTGTAATGATCATTACTAATAATAAAAGCATTCTACAAGCAATAATAGTAGAAGTTATTAGTGAGAAGGGAGAAAGAGGTACAAATGTACACAATGTACATATTGTTATTACGTCACAGCTGCAAAATGACAAGATAGGATTGATGTCTAAGTGACTCTGGGAAGTCGCAACATCACAGTACTACATGTACTACAGTGTATTCAGCAGGTATTCACCAGTTATGAATACCTTGACCACAGCACACTGCCGAACACTACAAAATGGCAAAAAGATTATTTAAGTTTTCATCTACAGACAATAATAATTATTATTATTGTTTGCATTTACAGATCACAACCTCTGAGTTTGCCATGTTGAGTTCCTTCAAAATGCGGCATTATAGAAATACATTTCATTGACAGCAAATGTCACAAATGCCACAGGGCAAAACATACGGGAAAGAGATTTGAGATATGATAGAGTTTTTCAAGTTAAAGTATAAACATAATTTGGTGGCAGTCTTTTTAAACTTTGTGCTTGACTTTTCTTTCGTTTGCAACTTGTACCAATTTACCACTCCCATAATTATGTCTGCTTTAGATAATGGATTCGTACAATTATTTATCATGAGCAATGTGCTCACTCTTTTCCTTGGTAACTGGCAAAGGTTAACAAAGCCAAGAACAAAAACAGGTCTCAGTGGCCACTACAGAGGCACGAAATCACTTATTTGTGTATATTAATTTTAAACTGTCCTACATAAAACTTTTAATTTAACTCAAGATAATTTATTACCTGCATTGAATTGAGCCTGTATTACATGGTAGATCATCAAAAATTAGTCTGGAAGCGACAAATTTGAAAAGAAATGCTTGGGAAAAGTCGCAAATTGCACACAGACATACTATTACTTTTAATACTGTTAACAGGGTCCACACAAAATACACAAAGTCTACAACTAGATTACAACACACAAGCCCTGTGCAATTTACAGAGATTACAACACAAGAACAGTAAACATTTCAACACCAGACAGCATTGTTTTACCCAAGCACTCCTGACTAACTTCTTTTATCTTAAATTTTCTGAATCTTTGAACCAACAACAACTGGATTGTCCTTTGATATCTTGGCCCTGCCATCAGCCTTGTAATCAAAGCTGCAGTCGTGTTTATCTGAATATCTATGAAGCCCACAGTACACATTTCCACATCTGCATTCAAATCCTGCAAACAAATAAAGAGGTATCATCTAATAAAAAAAATTCAAGCACAGCAATTTTTAGAGGGTTACATGTACAAGCCAACTTTGAAATAGAATTGTACAGCTTCAAGTAGCAGAGTTGCTTGAGTACAATTACATATTTCTCCAGATTTTTACCATTATCCCGTTAATGAATAAATAAAAGTCCATACACACGTAGCAATCGAGAAGCAGCAAGTTTTAACCCTTTCACCACTATGCAGCGGTTTTCCAGCACAAAGTGTCTGTAACACTACCTGCTGGTTTTCTAGTGAAACAAAGCAGCTCCCTTTATTACCAAATTTCTGGAAAATTGCCATTTTCAAAATTGCCAGCGCCCTGGACACTTTTTCTTCAGAATAGCAAGTGGTGAAAGGGTTAAGGATTAGCATGGGGTTTTTCGTAAGCTGTACAGCTCCGACACATTAATAAAGTTATCTATCTACATTGTATCTGTCTGCCTGTCTGTTTATCTATCTGTCTTAAGACTGGTAAGGTACACAGTGCTTACACTTTTAATTACACTCGCAACTGAATTGACCAAATAAAATGTAGAAATATGAAAGTGATTCAACAGGACAATAATGATCAAAATTAAGGCTAACTTTCAAATTCAACTTGCAAAGATCCATTAACTCTTTTCTGGACAGCTCAAAAATGAGAAAAATTACCATAGTTATTTTGAAAATTAATTTCTCAGCTCTCAAGAAGAAAGCTATATACCTCTTCAGAAAGGCCAAAAAATATCCTTTCAAGAAAAAAAAAACATTTCTCTCTCTAGTAACCCATAATATTTCACTAAAAACATTCACAAGATGCTTTTTGCATAATTTATGCAAGCATTTTAAGTAAAGATGTAATTTTTGGAACAATTTTGTCTGGTTTGAGGAAAAAGTAAAAGGGAAAACATTTTCCTTGATATGTAAGCTAAACAGACACCAATCTGCCTAAAATAATAAAAGATAAAATTTTTTTACAAATTTATTTTCCACAGCCATCAGATTATGCTAATAAGGTAAATACTAATAAATTTGCATACTGGAATTTGACCCTTTAGCGTCAGTTCCTCAGACAAACATTCATTTGCTTCAGAAGTAGCCTGCAAGCAAACTCTCCATGGCACTCTGGTGGAGGGCTGGGAAAAGGAAGAAGATCTTGCTCCCCATTGACTGAGCCGTCAGATTTCTGCCAATCAGCGTGAAGCGGAAACAAGTGTGAATGTAAACAAACACCGAAAACATGAGCCAAGGACAATGACGTCATTACTAATGCCTCTCCGCCAATCTGCATTTCACTTTTTCAATGCAGATATTCAAATTCCAGAGATGTAGTTGCAAGCTATCCTTCCTTTTCCCGCCTCACTGCCAGAACGCCCCAGAAAGCTTGCTCGCAGGCTACTTCAGATGCTGAAAAAGCTTGTTTCCAGCATAATATTGAGCTCTTGACGTGGAACTATCATTTTGCAAATTGATTTCATGAAAATAAGAGAGGTTTCAGACTTAGAAGCCCCTCCAAAAAGCATTTCCTCGCATTTGAAAACATGTGGTCGTCTTCACCTAGGGTAAACATGTGCAACTGAGAGAAGCGAAGCTCGCTACAGCCATCATAAATTCTTCCCGCATCACTGAACATTTTTTCCAAAATTTTCAAAAATTCTGGTGCCAAAGCCATTCACAGTCAGAGGCTGAAACTAGCCTTGTAATTGGCTAACACTGTCTACTTTCTGTGTACCAAATTTGCTGGCAAGCGGAAGTAACGCTGATTTTTACAATTTTTTGGGTATGATTCCTGTAGGAATCGTTTTTGCAGGGGCATCTGGAATAGTAAGCATTGCTAGATCTGGAATAGTAAGCATTGTAAGATCTGTACTTGAATATGCCTGCCCTGTTTGGGCTGCCCTGCCAAAGTATTTAGAGGACACTATAGAATCTGTACAAAAAAGGGCCCTAAGCATCGTTTTGCCGAATTGTCACTATGATGACGCTCTAATTCAATCTGGCGTCACTGCCCTTTCCCAGAGAAGGGAGGAAGCTTACATAAATTTTATCAAGTGCGACTGCCTGTCATCTCCAGTACTCAAGCCATTAATTCCTTGTGTGTCAATTGACAGGCCATACTGCCTCCGTTCAGGCAAACGTGTTCCGGTGCGCCTTGTCCCCAAGACAAAGCGGTTTGCAGATTTCTGCACCATTAAGTTTCAAGACCAGTTGTAATCCTGTGCTCTGTTATTTTTTCTCTGTTATGTTGCACTTTTAATCATATTTACATAATTATCTATTTGATTGTTCTTGTATTGTATTGTCTTCTGCTATTGTCACTGACCTTCCTTGTAATTCAGCCTTTAGGCTGCGAGAGGGATATCAATAAACTATTACTATATTACTATTACTACTTAGTAACATGTAAGACATACTAGAATAGGTAATAACAACAGCACCTCGTGCAGCTGCTGGTCACTCAAACTTCACAATCAAATTACTGTTTATATTCTCATCGCACGCTACCTTTGCCTTGCATGTTTTCATTACAGACATGTGGTACTTACCAGTTAATCCTACTTTTTTACGACACATAAAACATCTATTTCTTTTGGATTTAGCTTTATCCTTTGTTTCGGCTGACGTTCCAGCCTCAGCTTCAGCCTCAGGTTGCCTTAAACTGTCACTATCCCCTGACACACTGCTGGTTGATGAAGAAGGACTGACTTCGGCAGCTCCAGCTATATCCTCACTTGCAGGCAGGTGAGAACTACATGGTTCTTCAGATAACCCTACAATGATACAGGTAAAATAATACAGTTATAATAAATAAAGTAAAAAAACTAAAACAAAAATGATGAATTTGCCAAGCTCAAAAGGCTGAGCTAAAATGCATGTATTTTCACAGCCATAAAATGACAAAAACAAAATGTACAAGTACAGTAAAACATACAGAGCTGTGCTCTTGCAGCTCTCACTTGCCCCTGGCACCTTACTTTTGCCTGTGGGCTACTAGGAACACTGGATTTCACAGGTTCAGAGCACCGGGCTCCCTTCAATTTTACTTAGAGCACAGCCTTGACATACTTAAGATATGAATCTTGTACATAATTGTTACTAATGTGTTTGAAAGTACTAGCGAGGTAGTTAAACTTGGGTTCTAGCAACAGTGTGATAAAAAGGTTTCTGCCAACAGCACATGATTTGGCAAAAAGTTCCATATCCTGGCAGCAGTGCAGCAAGTAGACTTCAGCCCATGTGTAGTTGTTTTGACTTTAGGCAATGTTAAAGATAACCCCTCATACTATACTAACCAGGTATCTCATTAAAATTAATAGCATTATTCTAAACTACAAGTATAACAAATAATGTTTCATTTTAAGCAAAACCTGTAAAATTATCTAGTACATAAAATGTCGCTGTTCAAAACTGCCACTTCCAGGGGCATGTTCCTTAATTAAAAACAACATTGCTCTTTCCAGTGTACAGTTCACAGGCAGTAGTGGGTCCAGTACTGATATACCAGTTGCTGCTGCACCGCATTTGCTTAACACTGTATTGCTGTTATGACGACTACATCAATGGGCAGTTATGCTATAAAACCAAGCCCTAGGATTTCAAATCCCATGGAAAACAATTTTTTGGTTCCGCGTCCAGAGATCGGGTGGACTATCTGCAAAAATTTTTTTGCTCCAAGAAAATTCTAGGAAACCCAACTCCTAGATGTTTTCAACTTTTCAAATCATAAATACAATGTACTTTGGAAACGATTCAATATGGCGGACAATAGAAAACTGATAGATGCTAAACGTTTTAGTTTCGTATATACAGTGTCAGCCAAGTCATAACTAAAGAATTACTCGACTAGTCAAGAATTTGAGTGAAAAAATAGTGAATTACTGTAAATTGATCCCTAAGGCTAAAAATAATTATCACTGGGAAACCATTTTTTGATTCTGTTATTTTAAGACCATGGTAAGAGCATCATACCAGGAACTTTCATTACTGTAAAATCCTAAGGCTTGGTAAACATAATTGCAAAAATACCACCTCCTCTTAGAATAATTTCATAAAAATATAAGCCATTGACAATAAAAGCCAAATCACTTGAACCTTCCATTTTTAATGTAGTCACAACCTATGTAAATCATCAATACCTAAATGTAAATTCATTTTGACAGAATTCATGTTAACCTATTTTAAGAATGTGTCAGGCCCTTGAGAGGTACAGCTGTAACTTCCTGTTGCACTGTCTATCATACTGTACACTGTGGTTCAAACTTCAAGTTTCTGTGTGAAAATTCTAAAGCACTGAAGAAATTCATTTTTTAGACCTGTGCTAAATAAATTAAAAAGAGGGTGCTAACACCTTCGACATTTTTTAGTTTTGAACAAGATGGTTGTTAGACAGCCACAATACTGAACTTTTTTGGCTGTGTTTGAAGAACTATTTTTCAAAATACAGTGTAATCCTACATGTACAGTATATTTAGTCCCATGGTACTTTTCTACATTATGGTCACAACCAGTGAAAAAAGTGGATTTAACTTTCAAGCAAGCGGATGAAAGCCGATTACTACACTGTAAGCATTAGCTTCCTCTACTGTTATTCATTACCAAATTAATGAATGAAAGAATAAATGACTAATTTATTTAAAGACAATCCAAAAAATGCTAACCTGTTGATGGACTTGACACCATTGATGCGGGACTGGTGGTTGGTGAGGACTGCTTTCGCCGTAAAGCATCTTTAAAACACTTAGAACACATACCATCACTCGAGGAACTGCCGTAAAAACCACATCCCATACGACACAAAGATGGTTGTTGTGTATCGTCAGAGCCTCTTTCCATTACACCTTTGTCAACAACAACAAAAAAGTCTTATCAGTTTTCAGAATAGCATCACACAACAATAAATACAGATGTACATGGTTGTAACATTGGAAAAATAATGGAAGTGGTTGCATTACACTTGCCCTTGGGCACATTAATGATATTGACAACAGGGAATTGCACAGAAAAGACAAGTACTCATAGGGGAAAAGAGCCACAAAAATTCAAAAACTACAGCTGTAACTAAAATCGTAAGTGGAAGAAAGCAGTAAGAGACTCTTTCACCCACTGAATAATGAACATGCGAAATTCCATTCTTAAGAGTTTTAAGACAGTGAACTTTTTGGGGATTAAAGTGACCCTCTTGTGATGGTATTTCTTTGTCACTTGGCATCCTTTCTTACATTTTAATTCTGGTACGTTCTGTACTCTTGTTAAAGAGGTTAGCAGGAAATAAATCATGGTGCAAGGACCAAAATACCACATCAAACACCATGGCCCTGGCATACAGTACTTTTATGTACAGTAGATGTAAATGTAAGAATAAGAAAAACTGACCAGTGCTAAAAAATTTAGTTATGTCCACAGCTAGAGGAGTTTATCAATCTTGCAAGCAACTGGCATAACTTGTCAGTGTTTGTTGGTTTTAAGTTCTTGCCCCCATGCCAGGGAAATGCTAGAAATGTATATGTATCAGATCTGATATTTTGGGCTCTGCACCTTAATCCATTAACCACTTGATGTGCAAAAAATGGTAAATACTTTTTATGCACTGCTGTGCATTTTGTTTTTACATACTTCAATTGTATGTTAAGTGCAAGATGGCTACCTTGTGAGTGCATTTCCCTCAGAAATCTACAAAAGTAACTACTAAAGACAGTAAATGTGATCCTCCCAGTTAAATGTCTAAGAGACTTACAGTAGTTTCTTGATTAAATAGTGTTTGGTAGCCACCATAAGGTGTTTTGTCTGTACTCAGTAATTATGCACAGCCCAACATCCAATAAAAGTAAAAAATTGCAACCAGGTTAAGACTGCTTGAGTTTCTAAAAGACATGACATGCTGATATTTTATTGTTGATACTGGCAGAAAAACGCTTTACAATAAAGAGTATATAACCAGACCAATGAGACTTAATTCTGGATTTATACAATGTAGATAAGAACATTATTTTGTTTGTTCAAAATGCTCTAGAGGAGCCCTCTTTACCGACATCATCACAAGCTCCTAGTGCAAATGCATTCCAGTCACTTCAGGGCACTTACATAAAACTTAAACTATGCAGACTCATTTTCTGAAAACTCTCTTAACAAAGGATGGCAACATAAAAACTGCAGTTTCATTATCATATGTCCTCACTGAGGGAAGAAAGAAAGCATGCAGCTTGTCAACGCACATCTTCAGAGTATGCTTTGGCATTCTTTGTTGTTATAAAACAGTCACTGACTGATTATACAACTGTTGTACGAACAATTAACCAGAGAGCACTTGGGTCTCATCTCCTCATGATAAACATTTTTTTGTATACTTTACGCATTGCAATGTTCCTCCAGTTGAGAGTTTTTGATAAATCCAACCATATTTAAGTTTTCCACGGCAAATGGTTTTATCCCACTTTCATGAAAGTGAAGCTTTCCTGACAAGATTATACAACGCTTGACATAAACGCGATTGTTACTTAACTACTCGTCCACAGTGCAAAAGACTTTGTAACGAAAGAACAATTTCCAACAGTGAACAAAAATTACTTTAGCCTGAAAATACATACGCACTTATATTTTCGGAAGCGATCAAAATAAATTATTTTACTTTTGAATAAAATGTTCGACAAGAAAGTTCAAGAAATGTATTTATATATGCGATGTAAATTACGTTGGTCAAAGTTGAAGTTCTTACATACAAAAAGGTTTGAACAGAAAATAGGAAAACAAGGTAGAAAGAAATATTATGTAACAGCTATTCGCTTAAAGAAATATTTTGGCTTTAAAAGGTTGAAAGGTTCGATCTGCCAGGGAGAGAGAGAGAAAGAGAAATTATTCGTAGAATTTTGTAATATTGCTGTTTATTGCGTGAGTCTATTCACAAGAGATTTCAGAATTGTACAATTTCTCGTCAAAACAGAATACTTGGAAGCAATTGAGGGGAAAGCAACAACGAAACTACACATTCATTGGAAGATCAAACTAAAAGCTAAAACTCTGATGATTTCACTTTTCGCCTAAAACAGAATACCACGAAGTTCACTGAGACCAGTGAGCTAGAAAATTTTTCGTGGAAATGATATGTCGTTCAAATCGCTTTCAAGCAACAAAAGCAAGCGTCCTAAATAGAGGCATAGCAAGAGTTTTAGGCCACTAAAAAAATACCTTAGCAGAAATAACATTGACAGTTTTTACGCCGACCGACTTCAAATGGTCGCCATGTTTGTCCAACATTAATAATTTCGTGCTCCCTTAACGGGTCGAATATGACGCGAATTACGAAGCCACAATTTTTAGAGTTTAGTTTCCCAGCCACCAATATTTCTCAAGAAGATTTCATACAAAACGCTTCAAACAACGTTTCATAGCTTTTGAGTTATGACGAAACTACAAACGAACAACACAGTAATGAAATAAAACCTATACAAACACACGAACGTCCTGGCTTCACCACACATTACGAAAGAGAAAGACGAGAAACTAAATCGGTGTAGGCGAAATTCACCCAACCTAAGCTTATGATTTTACGTCTGCTCCCTTAAATTTACATTTTAAGGGGTAGTAAATAACAAATTGAAACTGAAAAGTGCAGTTTAAGCAGTTATTCGGTCGTTTCTTTGAACTGATTGTTCCCGTTTATTGCGTTTTATAAGGCAGGTTCCGTCCATCGGGCATGACTCGACTGGAGGAAGATACCCTGTGGTTTGAAAGAAATGCTCTTTACCTCCACTAGTTTAGCCTACTTCTTCGAGTTTATATAAAACAAAAAAAATGTGGTTTACAATTTATGTATCTTGTGTTTGGTCAAAACGGAGGTAAAAGAATGAAAATGAAACAAAGATCTTGGAGAATTATGTTCGCCAGCTCGAATCGCTTGGCAGCTTCAAAAGCCGTGCTAGTCACGCGTGGTCTAGGGAGGGCCGACATAATTCACCTTTGAACATTATATTGCAGAATTCTACAGCCATTTGAACGTCTTGGATGTCCGAAAATCACATCTTTTCACATTTTAGACGGATCGTTTTTGTAAGAAGGTTGCTATCACAGACTGCTGACAACAAAAGCCAAACAAATATGGTTCACCTTTCTGGCAGCGCCCAAAGTGAATTTTGCATCTTTCGTGCCATATGTTTGTTACTAACCGTAGTTAAACACTATATACTGCCATGGTAGACTATACTTACCAAAATTTCGACGAAACACGCCACGAATAATGCTTCGACCACGAAACGATGCTCTCGGTACTATTTTCTCTCCCGGAAAATGAAGCGATTTCCTTTTGTTATGGTCTCTGTGACGTCACATTAATTCAGCTCAAATGTCAATCAACTGCATTTAGCATCATGTGATTGGATGACTCCTCAAAAAGCCCTCTATGCTAAAACCATGGGGTGACTGAAAGTTGCCCCGCAAAATAGGCCAAGGATACAAATTGCATATCGTTTATAAATCCAGACTTTTCGAATACATTTGTGAAACTTCAAAATCAAATTTCTTTTTATTCCTCGCCTTATCTGAGTTTAATTGGAATACATCCTTCTTTTGTGGACTTTATTTGGGGTCTCTTGAGACGACCGAAGCAAAATAACAACTGACGAAAATACTGACAATCATACTTTGGATTAACACGTCACGGCCGTCATGGCGGAAGTCACGATTACAAATTGCATGCGCCCGCGAAGGCATCGATAAACAACACGAGTTTCGTCATCCGATCAATTTCTATGACATCATAAATTACTGGAAGCCCGGTTATTGCACTTAAAATATTGAAACAAGTTCGCCGGCGATTCTTAATATGCAGCAGTACGTGATTTTTGTTATTGAAAGTATCAACAAGGTAGAAAGGATAGATGGTTACTAAAACTGAACTAAAAACTATGTATTAAATATAAAAAGAAAAAGAAAAATGTTTATGGAATATTTATAGAAAATAAAAACAGAAAAAAACAGAGCGACGGAGATTCCTAAATATAGGTTGTTAATACAGTAGAAATATATATATTTTTTCTTCATCCCACCCAAAAGGTTACCTCGAAAAATATACATCGATAAAAATGTCTTTTTTTGTTACACCCGTTAGCGTCGCCGGGAACTGGAGATTAATTTATTCAATATTTTACTCTTGTTAAACTACAGACTCGTCGTCAGATATGTTATGGAGTCTGTTTTTGTTATGGTAGATTATCAGAAGTTATCAGATGGTTAATACATGAAGTTTTTTTATGGTCAGGCGAGCTAGCGAGCCGTTACGGCGTGCACGAAGGCGGAAGTCCCGCTTAAGCGTGTGGTGACCTGGGAACCTTGACTTCGTCGTGTTAATTAAATGTGCGCACGTGCTTAGTTCCTTGGGAAAATGTTCCTTTTAAAAAACCTGGGATCAATTTAGGTTTCTGGGAAGCTGCCCACCTACCCCTCACCTAAGCTAACTATAACACTGACTTGTCTCTTAGGGCAAAATGTTGGCTTAGGGGAGGGGTAGGTGGGCATCTTCTCAGAAACCTAAATTCGTGATCCGAAACCTGTCCGTCTTACAGAGTGTCAACTTTTCAATGGGCGTAGAATAAGGCAAGGACCAACTCTAGGTCTTGTGTTTGCCTTACGGGCCGGGGGAACTCATGGAGTGTCCGTTAAACCTTTAAAGTACATTATCAACATATAAACTCTCCATTGCCCTGAGGAATTATTTGAGAGAATTGGATAAAAGATCTAAGCATTTTCCCTTTGGTGATAATTTTATTAATTCCTACCTCCCAATCGTAGCGCTCGGCTTGGAGAAACCTCTGCTCGGCAAGATCATTACCAAAGCGGAAAGGCCCTGTTTGTACGTTTGCCTGACTAATCTCCTATGTACAGCCACTCCAGTCGAGACAAATGTCATTTGAAGTATGATAGAAGAAATGTAAATATTGTACAAGAAAGACACTAAACAGAAGGTGGATGACTGCATTTATTCTACGACTACTATTGTCATGATCAATATTACCTCTTAGAAATGAACAGCCCTCGAGCCCTGCTTCCGGTAGCATTTTCCTGTTACCATGTATATAGAAAGTTTTCTCCTTCCCACCTTCCTTTGCGCGAACATTTTCATCGAGAGAGAGAGAGAGACATCTTTGTATGAGGCAGCTCCTGAACTGTGTTAAACAGTCACCTTTAGAAAAGGCCAATTGCGCTTTTCAAATAAAGGTTCTAGAGATGATTACAATGAAAATTACTGGATAGCATATTAATACAGTTTCAGTCAATTCAGAGAATGTAAGTGGTCTAGAAGTGTTGTTTAGTGCCAGTATCCGCATTTCGAGGAAATGACTTGAAGTGGGTTGAATATATATTATGTATATAAAGCATGGTTTCCGTTAAACTTCACGTTCGTTACTGCTCATCGTGATCAAAAAAGAGAAAATTCAAGAGCAGTCCAAAGCCGCTAAGGTTTATTCGGCCGTGCTAAGAAGTGAAAGTTTACTTAACGAGCCCAAACTGATAGGGAACATCGCCATACATGATAATAATAATAATAAGAAGAATAATAAAAGACTGAGTGAATGAGAGAATGTCAGGGTACTCACCCACCGTAGCTATACAAGCGCCGAGAACCTTCGTTTCACATCATATACGGTGAGCTGTTTTATGGAGGTGGTGCAGGATAGCGTGGCGGGTCGGTCTTTTACTTGCTCAGCAGGGTAACCGGGCAGGTATTCGTGGCTCAGTAAGTTCTCAAATCGTTCTCATTACGCATCACCGGGGGCACTTGTATGGCGTCAGCCAATTTTTTCTTCGGAAGGTTGTAAATGCTCTATAGGAGGGGTTCATTCAAAAACCTAACGTGTCGCTTAAAAAAAGTGTGGCTTAAAAATGTGAACATACATATATGTTAGAGAGGTTTAGAATCAAGTTTACAGAAAACGGTAATCGCCAATTGTACCACATGACCCAGGCCCTGTTAACGAATCTAGACATTTTTGCAGGGGTGTAGCTAAGATTTTTCAAAGGGAAATCATACTGCCTTAAACCCAGCGTACTTAGCAGATTGGCATGTCGACAACAACGCCTTGTTTTACTATAGTGACATTTTTGTTTTCGGATGGGCAGTGAGCATAGGGGGAGGGACAAGCCTACAAAATAGCTACATTGATTAATCAAGTTCCGCTTAGCATAAAGTACTTTACTTTAGTTACGAACAAGAACATGGTCCACTGCAGATGTTCGGTCCTGCAAATGGAGTAAGCAACAATCTAGCACTGGAAAAGATTTATTGCATACTGATTTTTCGGATTCGCGCGTTTAGGCAACCTGAATTACAGGGACATAAAACAATTATCTCACAAAGGGGAGGGGGGTGAGGGGGTCACGGGCACCCCAGGACTACCCCCTAGCTACGCCCCTGTTTTTGAAACCGCATGATTCGTGTGAACGAGGCCCTTAACCAAAGCTCTGGAGAGCGGTTTCAATAAGATATGGTTCCGGTGAGCGATTCACTGGTTTCGTGGGGACGAAAGGCCGATTCTTGCAAAAATTTACGCGGTTTCAACAATGTCCGGATTCCTAAAACGGGGTCCTAGTTCTCCCTTAACTTGTCGTTCACTGCTCATTTTAACTAGACAGAAATTAACAGTTTCATGTCAAGTTCATCCATAAGAACCATTTGTTGCAGATTTTATCTGTCGACTTCCTAATTTGAAACATGGCCAACTTGAATGTGACGCCGCAATTTGGAGTGTATTCTTTCACTCGACGTTAAGCGTAGGAGAACACAAAATAATCGAAATCGAATTGTACGGATAATTTAACTAAGGCACCAAGAATTTACTTACTTTTAAGCTTAATATACAACAACCACTTATTATGTATGAGTTTAAAGGCTACAAATTGAAACTTTTTCACAATTTTAGAATAACTCATGCTACTGTGTTACTCATGCTACTTTTTCACAATTTTCGAATAACTCATGCTACTGTGTTAGAAGCATGCTTCTGACTGTGTATACCTGTCTTTCTGGCTTAGCCATATGGAACTTATGAAAACGTTTTGAATAGTTTATTTACTTACAATTTCACAAATTTACTTGCGACGTGGCCTTTTTTTTTACCCGAGTGAGTGAATTCATTTGTCGGTTTGTTTGCTGTTCTGTGGTTTTGTACTTTTTATACTAAAACCCAATCAACTTGCGCCGAAAACACGAGCGCGGTCAACAAGCACTGATAGACAATCACATTCTCATCCCCAGAGCCACTCGGCTTTATTTGTAACGAGACCAAGTGACCAAAAGAAAAACGGGGAGGAGAATGATAATCACGTCATCAGAAAATAAGTTACACTGCACTTGCGCGAGAACAACAGTTATGACAACAGCTTCAATATTTCGTGAACAAAAGAAATGCTGTGATTTTTTGACAGGGGTTTAAAACTGTTTTAATTACGGACCATTTGCGGGAGATTAGATACTAGGTTTGAACGAGCGCAGGCGGGCCTGGTTTTGTATATTTCACAATTTTCCCACTTAGCACCTCGCACCCTCTATATTAGACTGATCTCTATGAGTCTTTTCCAAACTTTCTTCTTCTTTCTGACATATACATTCGATTTTTAGGCCATGGAGCGCGAGTGTTTTTTATGACAAGGCCGAGATATGGATATGGTCAAAACAGTTCATCAAGTTGAGACTCTGGTCGACGGGGCGGCTTCTCAAACTCAAAGTCAGTACTCCATGTTTCTCTCTTGGAGGACTTGATACTCTGTAAAACAGAACGAGGCAAAACGTTAAGCGTGCGAGTGTACTCGTTCGCAAGGTAAAATTAGCCACTACCGTTAAAGAGAAAATCTATAGTGATTTTAATACGATTCAGAAAATCATCTCCACTGTATCTATGATTTGTTGCACTCACTACTAACTAAAAGAATCAGATTCCCTAATTTACAACAATTGAGCTCGCGATTCATTCGCTTTGCCGCTTCGTGTGTTTGCTGACCAACCAAAAGCAGTGCACGTTTACCTTAGTTCCTTAACCACGCAAAAGCTTGAGGAGAGACTGTTTGGCTGAGATATCTGGTATTAGTAAAATCCAACTAGTGGTCTATTATCAACGCTACGTTCCGATTGGTTGAGCTACTGCTAGGCTGTTATAGCCCACTAGTAGCGAAAGCGCCGGCTTTTTGGCGGCAAAAAAAGGATTAAAGTCTAGCTTTAACCAGCTAAAGTTGTTCTGTCTCGATATTTTTGACCAGCTAGTTGGATTTTACTAAAACAATTATTCCTCTCGACTCAGAGCCCATTCGGGCTCGAGGAATAATTGTTAAATAACACTGCGAGACGTAAAAGAAACCTCACGTAACGAAACGGCTTTCCACGCAAGGTAGTCGGAGAACCTGATATCGTACACTAGAGATGAGCTCCAAACAGAAGCTTAACGCATGAAAATTCAGTAACTGTCAAACTCAGAAAACTGTGAACACCTGAAAAATTTCAGGAATGTTGATTGTGTAGTGGACAATCACAATAAAGTTCAGGATACGCAAGCAAACCTCAAAACCACAAACTAATTACCGTTGCTGTTTGCGGTTTAGTTATCTCGCACCTTATTTGCTTATTTCTCCAAACACAATAACGTTCCATAAATATTTCTGGTGTTCAAGGTTTTGTGAGTTGCACAGTAATGTAAGAAACACTTACAGATTTTCGCTTGCTGGAATCACCTCCTTTATCTGAGGTAGCCCACAGGTCAGCAACTACCAGAGAGAGTGAAAAGCACAAATAAACAAAAAACATTTGGATAATAAAACATCATACAGGTGAGGAACGAGATGATCATTCACTGTATGGAAAGCTCTTTAAGGCAGGACATTCACGGACTGGAATATAGCTTTTTAATATAGTGTTGTTCATAGTTGTAGTTATGGTTGTGTAGTTACAGTCTGAGATCTTTAAATAGCTGATGATTTGCCCGTGATTAAACAAAGTTTATCTTTTACAGCGTGGACGCTCTTGATTTGCACGCGCATTCGCCATCGGGTCTTCTTACGTTCGCTCTGAGAGGCAATAAAGAAAACGTAAGGAAGATACGCCGTCTCCTGGATAAAGCTCCTCTCTTGCTCGTAGTCAAATTCGAAATTAGTAATAGACTGCCTCTTACCCTGGAGAAGCGGCTAAGCTATCGGTACGGCATTACATATGCCAATACTTGGGAAAATACGGCTCCGAATTGGTACGCAGACGAGACAATTATGTTCCCCATATTCAAACCGGTAGGCGGAAACCGTTTATCTTAAGGTATAGGCAGACTAAGGTAGACAGTACATAGGTACAAGATGTAAACACACGGCGGTGTAAAATGAAATACACGGCAATCATGAGATTGCCAGGAAAGGAAAAGGGTGAGGAATCAGTTAAGAGCCTGCATAACAGAAGTGCTCATACACCAACCTGAATCGCGAGAGTCTTTTCTGGTTTGTTGTCCTTTCCTGGACTTCAGTTTCGATAGCGAGGAAACAACTATGTCATCATCATCGTCATCGTCATCTTCACTTTCGCGAACCTTAGCCTGCGTTTTCCGGGGGGACTTCTTACTACTGGATCCTTTATTTGAAGAAGTCGAAGAGAAAAAGTTGTCCAGGCTGTTAACTAGAGAATCACGCTGAGACGACGCTGCAATTAACAGAAAAACGTTTCTTAGCTCAAAGTTAGGATCATAACCTTCTTTGTAGAGAACGTTAAGTTTTATAGTTCTGGGTCCTGTTCATGAAAGCCCGATTAGCACTACCTTAGGATTAAAATTTTGCTCCACTTTTTGTATTTACCTTCTATGCATTGCTTGGAATAACATTTTCTGTTATCATGACTGTATCTCAGAGTGAAGGCTAAACAGTATTTTGTAAGCTTGAGTTACATGGTCGAAGACAAGAAAACCGTGATTAAAATTTGGCTTAATCTTGGGTTAAACTTAACCTTCTTTCGAGCAATTGGGCTCTGCACTAAATTCAACTTCAGTGTAGCTTCCCCTTGAGGGCTAAGGCTATTAAATTATCACCAAAACGAACGAATTTTCGAGCGGCTGAGAACTTTGAACATTCGTCCGGTCCCATGTGAAGGTAGCCCGCGTCCTTATGTGCTGTAAAGTTCACACCGTAATTTTCAAACGGGTATTTCAAACTATTGTAGAAGGGTAAAAGTGTAGATCTCAGTTAACTCCTTTTTCCTCGGTACATTTTAGTTTAAATAGATTCATCATCATCAGCATCATCATCTCAATTACCGTAAATGATAGATTAAGCGCCGCACATTTACCGAAAATAATTTAACAAGCGCCGCGGCGCTAATATGGGTATTTACAAAGACACGCCCCAACTTTATTACGGTGCTTGACATAAAGAGATATCAAAACCATATTGCTTGAGAAATAAGACCACGACCAACTCGCGAGTTCTAAAGTTTTAATGCAGTGAAACTCTTGAAACCGGGTACATATAAGACCATATAACGGTTCGAGGTGTACATATTTGTCCTTTTTCTTGCACAACTCTGAGTTCTCTCTATATTACCCTCAGTGTTTCACCCGTAGTTGAAATAAAATCGCTCTCGAATAAGCACCGCACCTTTAACAGGGAAAATGAAATAAGCACCGTTGCGCTTAATCGATCATTTACGATAGGTAAGCAAAAGCCAGTAACGCAAGTCAACACACCAACCACTTACAAAATATAAAAGTAAAAATTACATGCGACAATATGTAGAAAATAGAATAAATATTAACTATACAAATTTAGAAATTCTTATTTAGCTACTGAACTAAGGCAATTCTTAGATTCGGCAAGAGAAGTAATGTGAGACATATCAGGGAGGAGCTGATTCCTGTCTCAAGCAGTCCTTAGGAAAAAAGAAAACTTGAACAAATCTTTCTTACAGTGAAGCTCAAGAAGCTTAAGCCTGTGGCTACTCCTCGTACTGGTCTGATTGCTAAAATTTGAAAAATGGTTAATCTTAACGTCAAGTTAAGAGATTAAGAGTAAAGAGTAGTACTTTGGGCGGTTAAAGAACCTCCGATGGAAGTGAATTTTTCAACTCCCTAAAAGGAGCTCCATGTAACTCCTGGAAAATGAAAATTTGCCATTTCTGTAAATAATACAATTTTCAATGTAAAAGCTTCACTGCAGTCAATTCCTGCGTGGGTCTATTTAAGTTATCTTATGAATCAAAAGACATGTCCTTACACGCACTGGGAGGTGATCTCCGAGTGAGACTGGGACGGCCGCCTTTCTTCCCATCACCACCAACATTTTTGGTCTTTTTTCCAGTCATGATTACGTCATCTTCACCGCTATCTTCTTCTGAGCCCGTAATCATCCTAGACCGTCCTGAAGCTGAAACTCTTGGGCTGTCCTTGTCCTTGTCACGGCTCCCACTCCGAGTTAAACTGGGTCTTTTTCCACTTAATGGCCTCTTTGATGAGGAAAGTCCTGGTCTGGAAGGGTTTTCCTCTTGTTCTTTTTCAGAATCTTCGAAATCTCTATTAACTGACAAGTGACCTGACGCTCGCGAAAGACCAGGCCTACTTTCGAATGTTCTTGTCCTGTCGTCACTCGAAGCAGGACGGCTGATCTCTCGGGATGATAGGGTCAACCCGGGCCTGCTTTCGGCAGTTCTGACGCTGTCTTCATTCGTAGGAGGTGGGCGTATCCCTCGGGATGATCGGGACAACCCAGGCCTGCTTTCGACAGTTTTAAAGTTGTCCTCGCTCGTAAGAGGTGGGCTTATCCCTCGGGATGATCGGGATAACCCAGGCCCATTTTCCTTGCTCGGACCCGACAGGGTGATATCTCGGTTTGATCGTGAGAGAGAAGGCCGTTGTTGGTTCAGGCCTGTATCCAGTGATCGTCTCGGCCCTGTAACAACCGCATCGTCATCATCATCATCACTATCAACTATCTCGAAGCCTTTTTTGTTCCGTTGTTGTTCAGTTACATTGTGCGCTGACTCGTTTCGCGTCCTACCATATTGGTTTTCATTCAATCTGGAGTCTTCATCCTCGCTATGTTCAGAAATGTTTGAAAACCTTGGAGCTGAGATAACACGCCTAGACCCTGGGGGAAGAAAAAAAGGTGAAACACTGAAAAGACCAGTTTGCACTACAACAAACGTTTGAGTACTATAGTGGCTGAGGACGGGTTACGACCCTCCCCCCCAAAAACGTGATTTTCCAGCGCACCCCCCCCCCCAAAAAAGAAAAAATTATTCTGTAGCCAAAATTGGAAGGGCCGGCAGGGGGTACCCGTAACAAGTCCTTATCTAGTGTAAACGAACTTGGTGTAAAAACTAGAGCTCCCACTCCAAACTTATTGTTCCTTACAATGTATTACACACAACATAAGATGAATTTAAACTAAGTTACCAAGATACTAGAATGAAATGGAATACGGAAAAAGATAAAAACAAAGAAAGATGAGAAAGAGGTTTCTGCTTTAATAATCATGCCCAACTAATAAAGATTTTTGTTTGAAAAAGCAAAGAAAGAAGATGTGCACAATTGTTAGTATTTGTTTCTCGTTAGTAGAAAGAACTCTGCCAAGTTCATATGCTGAAGAATATTAAGAGGGAAGTTTGTTAGACTGATTCGCTTTCCATAAGCTGGTTACTGATCAGTGTTAAATGTTGGCGGTGATTGGTCTTCATGCTGCAATCTTCCACTGATTAAACATACCCTCTGTTTTACTGTTTTTTTCGTTGCTATCTCCAGTTTCACTCTTCGTTGTCTCTTCAGCGGCGTGTTTCTTTCCGCGGTATGCTCTCGTCTTCTCTGCAATCACATCCTTTTTATTAACAGCTAAAGTTCTTTGATTGCTTTCAACAGAGGCATCCAAGTTCAAATAAGCCTTTTCTTTTTCTCGGTTGCCTGTTCTAGCTGATCGTCCAATTACTACTGCGTCATCATCTGAATCAGATTCTGACTGATCACGTGCAAGTGTGGACGAATCACGTTCAAGACCACCTGCAAGTTTTTTATCTACTGCATGTGCCTCATTACCTGGAAGGACTTCATCGTGCGAGAGTGCTGATACATCAGCAACTTGATCACGTGGAACTTTTTTACTAAGAGTAACAGCGGTTGTCTCGTGGCGCGCACGTGGTGAAGAATCACGTGCCTCGTCACGTGCGTTATGTTTCTGATTAGGAGTAGAAAGAGGTGCCTGATCACGTGCAAGTGGTGCTGGTGCAAGTCTTTTATCTCGTGCAGCGTCTTTGAGTGCAAATTCCTCAACATGTACAGCTCTATCAGGTTCAAGTGTTTTTCCCACGGGTTTGGTTGACGACTGTGGATCTTTTACATTATAATATAACAAAATACCGGTTATTGACTGACAATTTTGGTATAGGCACGAATGTCAATATGCATGTGATTGTCAACGTAACAAATAGCTTTTTGGTAAAGTGAAACTTTCACTAAGAATGAGAAGAGAAAAGCATGCCTATGTTTCAAAGCATAACAAAGACTGTGCAAGAAACTACAGCAACCTTGCTCTACCTTCACACCTAACTCATTCTCGCGTGCAGCACGACTTAAACTAACATTATTCATTTTACACCTTTACCACAAACACCGCTATCTTGCATGCAAACACACAAATAAAAGTTGTAAGCAGTTTAGAACGAAATGATTTCCTTTACATCTGTTAATACAACTAAAAGCTTCCAATCAAGTAACTAAGTAAGCATCACGATAAAACGTTTTTGCAGTGCGCGACCCGGGTAAAAATATTTTAATAATATGGTCTATACAGCACGTTCTAACCTGACAAACTGTGTCTCCTTGCGTTTGTTAGAGCAGGTCCTGGGTGTCTCCTACTGCTTGACGAGCTAGTTACCAGGCCATCATCAGAGTCAGGTTCCGAACCAAGCGACAGGTGACTGGAACTGAAAAGAAAACAAGAGAAGTTCGCAAAGACTAATATCAGTTCCTTTTTAGCACAAGCGGCAGGAAAACTTGGTCGACTTTTTGCCCTGGTGGGATGACATGTTCCTAATCAGGTACGCCAGTGTCTTTACTGGGTTTCCAGAACCCAGCAAAAACAGACGCAGGCTTACATCTTACCACAAATACTGCCAGGAAAAAGTGACTTCTCTAAAACATAATCCGAAGCAATTTTGTGACCATTTTAACTACTATACCTTCCTCTTGTTCTCGTTTCACGTGCCTCCAGCTCACGCCCAGGTTCCTCTCCCAGATGCTTCATTCTCGCAGAGTGCGCCCTCATTGCTGATTGGATAGTGACAATAGCGTCATCGCGGTCTGTGAAATCCTTGTTAATTTCCTCAATGTACTTGCTACGAACGGCCTGACCTCGCAAGGCGGCCTGGATCTCTTTAATCGCCTACAAATGAATGGCAAAATGATGGAATACAAAGAACTTTACATTTTAAAAGTGTTTTCTCGGGGTTTTCATGGTGTAAAAACGGAATATACATGGCGTGATTCGGCAGGTGTGACAGTCCAGTGTTAGGGCTTTAAACAGCGTGTGCAGGTACTTCTTCAGCAGAGCTTTCCTTTTTGTTACGCCGTTCTGATGAACCACAAAATTTGCCAAACAGCTGTCAACGGCTACAACCCCGCTCTATTTAGATTCTATCAGTGTCGTTTCTATGTTTTTTGCGTATGTTTACCTGATCCCGGTGAGGCTTTCATAATAACACCAGTGCATCTCAGTTTACCTTTAGGTTATCTACTCGTTAACATGATTCCAGTTAGAAGAGAAAATTGTTTTACACAAGCAACCTTACAGGTCTCAAGATTCGCTTTGGTTGGGAAGATCATAGAGAAGTCTTGTACTTTGTAGCCTGCGAAATCATCCGTTTCTCCTCGCTCTTCGCCACTGGGGACGTTTCGCGCGGAGGAACGAAACGTCCCCAGCGGCGAAGAGCGAGGAGAAACGGATGTTTTCGCAGGCTATGTACTTTGGGGACCGGTAGAAGGGCGTTGATGATGGCTTAACGTGACGGTAGCACTCCCAAATCTCCCACCACAAAATCCTGTCCTTACCCTACTAGAACCTGCACATAGACCCCTGAAACGATGGCATGAATTTAAACATTACCTCTTCCTTGGCTTCTTCTTCTTGTTGCTTGGTCTGCAATGAAAATTCAAGTTCAATAGATGTTTATATTTTTTTCGGGGCAAGTTTGTAAAAAAAATAAAATAACTGTGGAATATATTTAGGTGAAAGAAATTCATGTTGCCCAAAATTAATGCTTATTATATAACAGCTTCTAAACATTTTCTAACTAAGTAGACGTTCCGATCTATAGGGCAGTAAAAAGGGGAAGTTGCGTGAACAACTTCAAACGATAAGGGGCACCCTAGAGGTCTTGGAATCACGTGATCATCTAAAGTCCTCCCAGCGTTTGCCGTGAAAATCCCCTGCCACTTGTCACTTCGGCCTTTGGCTGAAGATGTGTTGGACCAGCCCGAAATATCTTGAAGTGCAAGGGTAAAAGACACTTGATACCCTGGGATAAGTTGCGCTGAGGCTCACAGCAAGGCCTAGCGTGCAACAATTCATATCAAATGCTGACTAGTTTATTTTGGTGTAAATGAAAAGTCATTTTCAAAGGAAAGGAAAGAAATCCAGGATTCGCTTTGAAAATGAGGATACATGTAATAAACAAATACTGTAACTTGTTTAACCTCTTCGACTGAAGAAAACACCTCAAAAAATTCGAAATTCGAGTGGCAACACGAGCCGCAGGCGAGTGGTTCCACTGCGAATTTTTGAAAAACAAACAGCAGCATCATTACAATACCTCCATGCTCTAAACTCCAAAAGACTAAAACTCATGGGCACGCGAGAAATCACTCAGTTATAGTAAAAACCTTCTTAACGAGGACACGAAAGGAACAAAGCTAAGAGTCTACAGCAAAGATATGTGTCTCTCAAAGAGGTGTGGATTGCATGAAGTTTGGAATTTGAGGTAACGAGGCAACCATCCAAAAGAAGAGGTTCAATTGTAATTTGAAAGCTTCATCTACACTGAAGAGGTCTAGCAAGAATAAAGGACAGGGAAACATCTTTTGTTCTAGCACTTACCCTATCTCTGTGTCTGCGCCAGTTTTTCTGAAGCGTCACGGCAGCGCCGTTCCTCTTCAGTTCTTCCTCTTGTATTGCCTGCTGTTGCTTCTTCCCTTGGTAACCGCGCCACTGTCTTTGTAGCGTCTTAGCAGCTCGCTGTTGTTGAAACTCCTTCAACATTCGATCCAAGTCATCACCGTTGTTGTCTGGCGGAGGAGTATCCTTAAGGGATAGCTTCCTTGGGCTAAACATACAAAACCAATACAAAGATTATTGGGCTGCAAAAGAACAAGTTTCTCTCCCTCTTTCTCCGCAGTCTTACACTGTTTACACCTTCAGACGTTTCTGTTTGACGAGTTCTCGCATTTAGTGCCCACTAACGCAAAAATACTGCTACCTTGCTGTATTAAAGGCTCACTTTCAAACATTTTTTTGCAATGCAATAAACTTAACTTCACGAAATTCATCCACAAATGCGTAAAACTCGTGTACTAACAATTTCAACGAAAAACTGTTTGTATTGAGTTTTCGTAAAAGTCGAGTGGAAGAAATCTCTTTGGAGATTAAAAAATCTGACGAGGTTTCAACTTCAACTTTATTCATTCACTTTCAATTTACAATTACACGATAGCTTCCACCCGCGTATAGGAGAGCCTAATCGAGGCGGGGGAAGAGACACACAAATTTAAAGAAAGAAAAGAAAAAAATAACTATTTCACAAACAGTACCAGCTGTCGCAAAATAAAAACTATAGTATGTATTAAGCTAATTTAATTGCAATATGATTTACACAGAGAATATAAATTTAGTTGTGTTCCTGAGCTAGTTAAATTTAAGTTGATGCATGATTTCAGTGATTTCAAGATAGTCATCAGATTTTGATAAAATTTCAAAGAGCTTATCATGATTCCTTGTCTTTTTCCGAAAGGTAGATTTTGGTAAGTTTCTCTTATCTGAGGGTAAAGAATTCCAGACTTTTTTCAAGCCTTGAGTGTTCGGTATAGAAATCATCATTGAGAGAAGATCGGGTAGGATATGAAAGCACCTCAGAAATCCTAGTAAAGGCTCTCTTGATATTTTCAGGTGCAGAATTGTTAGCAACGTCCCACATGATACTACAAAGGTTTCATAAGCTCGCTAGCAGTGTTAATAGACCTCACCTGGATAAACAAGTGGAAGATCTTCTTCTTTCTCCTACAGCAGCCTTCTCGCCTTTTAATATGTCTAGCTCATCTTGAGTAGATTTCAATTGCAACCTAATCGTTTATTGTAGTTAGTACATTAGATTAGCAATCCTTATAAACAAGTATAGGCCCGTCTCTACAAACGAATCAACAGAGTCGCGGAAAGCTACTACTTTTACAGAAATAGTCTGTCATTAAACTGTTTACCATCGCCGATCACCAACTTTAGTTAAATTCAAATGTAAACTTGTTGGAAGTTCCATGATTTCAAACAACGAATAAATTCCATTCACATGCATGTCTGTATTTTGGAGAATGTGTAGCCTGTAATAAAACAAAATTTCCTTGGAATCCACTCCAGTTAGCTATCTCCTTGTCCCTAGATAACCACGGTGGACAAATTAAAAAACTAAATTCACCCCCATCAGTCCAATAGACCATTTCTGAGTGGCCTCAAGTCTCTGTTTCAAAGCGAGGCTAAGTGCGAAGCCATTGATATGGAAATGATTGTTTATTCTCATGCAAATATCAGCCTCATGGGCTATTGACTCATAAGGGCGAGAGGAATAACTGTTCTAGTAACATAAAATTCAACTAGTTGGTCAAAAATATCGAGACAAAACAACTTTAGCTAGTTAAAGCTAGACTTTGATCTTTTTTGCCGCCAAAAAGCCGGCGCTTTTCGCTGCTAGTGGACTATAACATATAGCCTAGTAGTAGCTCAACCAATCAGAACGCAGCATAATAGGCCACTAGTTGGATTTTACTAACATTCATTAGCCTCGTTTTGAAAGTAAGAATTCTTGGAACTCGAAAATGGCCTATCCAGCCTCTTGTGTAACCACTTCAGCACAATCTGGACCAAAACAGCCTTTTTAAGAACTACTTTACCTCACATCGGGGCCCCTTGTGCCTTTTACTTAGATAGCCAAATCAAAATCAATCAAAGGTGCTGCATTTTACTCCCCAACAAACGGCTTAAATTCGGTTAAACAAAACCGTTTGAGTTCACAGTGTTGAAAAACCTCAAGTTTACCAAAACTGCATAATATTTTACTTGACTAGATCAGTCAAGACAAAAACACCTCATTTCAAAGTGGTAGCCAATTTAGGTATCCTTTTGTCTTCATGGTAATTGGCTTCATTGCCTCGTTTCAAGGAAGAAGTTCTCTTGAATTCCGAACATACAATCGAAGCCAAGAGGGTTACTTAACATAAACATAAAAGAAAAGTACCATTTCTGGATAAGGTGTATGGCAATCTTTATTTTACCTGAGGTCATCTGAGACTGATCTGTAATGTGCGCGATCTTCTTTCAGTTGCTCAATCACTTTGCGCTGTTTCTCTCTTTCTTCTAGAAGTTCTATTTCTCTTTCTTGAAGCTGCGCGAGTTTCTGAGATGTGGTTCCCTTCAGTTCGATCCTTCCTGGAACTACCAACATAACATACGAATAAGGTAAGATAAAGTTTGGTCACTCTCTATAACGATTTAACTGTCAAAAGAAAAAAGAAAACATCATTCACGAAGGCAAATTTAACAAATCACTGATGCTTCTCTCCTCTGAAAATGCCAGTTTTTTTCATAAAATTAAATTATACCTTCAGCAGATTTTGAAATACTTTTTCTTCTCACTTCCAAGTCAGTTTGTTTTTCCTCGGGTAAGGATCCCTTGCGAGGCAGAATTTTCTTCCCGCCGGAGTCCTGCAGTTTCTGCAACCAGCAATGAACAAATCTCATGAATCTAGACCAAAATAAGGCCTTATTTACCCTGTAAAGTTACCCCGCTAATTTGAATCTAAATCCTTCGATGAAGTAGGATTAAATTATGCTTTACTTGAGTGAAGAACAATATAAGAACGATTCTAATCGGTAAAGGTACGGAAAAACGGGCAACAAAAAACGTGTAACTTGCGCGTTTTACAACCCACATCAAACCTGTCCTGCAACAAATCAGGTTGTTAACAGGTTTGAACCGTGGGTGGTGAAACGCGCAACATCGTTATTTAACTCGCTTTCCAGCAATGCTGCAAAACAAGTTACACGTTTTTTGTTGCCCGTTTTCCGGTACCTTGAAGGAGCTGTGTCACGAATTTTATCAAAATTCAAGTAGTAGGAAGTGCCACCAAATTGAGTGAAACGTAACAATAACAGCTCAAGACATTAAAACAAGATATAAATAACACCGCAGATAGAAAAGAGAAGGCACAGATAGACAAACTTGAAGAACATTGAAACGGGTCGGATCGAAATTGTGAGCTAAGCAGTTTTTCAAAGCTTATTTTTGCTACTAGACATCAGCTTTAAATAGGAATAATTAACAGGTCAGAAATATACTGTAGCAGAAATGCACACATAAAAAGAAAGAAAGAGACGAGGAAAAACGCTATTATTACGCCATTAAGCTGGTAATTTCTTAGTTAACGTTAAGTTCCATGATAGCACATAAGAAAGCGTAACTGGCAAGATTAACAAAATGAGCGAGACCTGTCACACAGCCCTTTTGATTCCTGAGCAGCGTAACCGCTATCGGCGGATAGATTTCACAAAGCTACGACCTGTTCAAAGTATCCCTATTTCGTGTAAAGGACAAGTGCTCTTCTGGGTGCTTTGTATAGCCATGACAAGAAAGGCACAATAGGGCCATTTACACGAGGAAAAATAAGACGCGCCTTACATAAGACGCGTCTTAAATAAGATGCGAACTTTCCGTATAAACGGCACATTTCGTCTAAAATAAGACGCGGCTTAGCTAAGACGCGTCTTATTAGATACCACATGCTCGTATAAATGGTACAGTTCGCGTCTTATTTAAGACGCGTCTTATTTTTCCTCGTATAAATGGCCCTAATATCTGTCTTCGTTAAACGTATGCATTTGTTATTTACGCATCCGTTAATATAGAACTAATCTACAATGTCTGCAAATAACAACAGTAAAAATAACCTCCCCTAAAGTAGGTAATAGAATAGGCTTGCTACAAGTCGACCTCTCATAGGTTCTTAAAAGTGAGCGAAGCGAGCTTCAATGCATGAGGTGGCGTAGCGACTGAGCGAGCGCGACGAAGTCTCGAGGTCGACTTGTTTCGCCTGAATGGATTTGAATCATATTATAAATTCACGCGAGAAAAAAGGATTGACAGATGCTGTGTCGAGAGGGGCATGAAATATCACTCAGTGTCCTATTGGTCAGTTGTCACGATGTCACTGGTAGAATTTTCGACCGGTGAATTTCGCGCCAAATAGGTATGAAAAGTCCTTTAAAATGGCATATTCAAGCAGGAAAAAACATAAAGGACTTTTAGAAAGTCCAGTAATAGAACGGCCAGTACATTTACAAAGTGACAATTTTTTGTGTTAAAGTGCAAGCACTCTACTGGACACCTGGTCTAACATTCGACATTAAAATGGTCGACAGTGTCTGCAAAATTTGAAATAAAAAAAATAAGGATAAAACCTATATTAAAGTATAGCTTGTTCAGTCTATATTGGTAAACACAATCACATAACTTACTTCCTCTAGTTCGTGAATTTTAGCCAGAAGTTGCCCTCGGTTCATATCTGCATACTCGGCTGAAATCACAAGTACCAACAATTTGCATATTAGTATTTGGGATCAAAATACTGTACTCAATTACATTTTGCATCAATTTAAAAGCTTCAGCGAAACATACAAGTGCCAAAATTCAAACAAATATTAAGCGAAAGTCGACACGAAAGTTTAGCAAGACTCTACTGACTTTTCAAAGCCACTTTCTTTTCTCCAGTGGACGAATTTTCTATTGCTGCCAGCAAATCTTTCTTGAGACTGCGATTTTCCGCTTTCAAGTGGTCATTTTCCTCTAAAGAATGAACAAAAACAAAGCACACATCACATACAGAATTCACGTGCTCATGAGTACGGCAAAGGTGTCTTTTTATTCGAACATACGAAACTTCTAGCAACTTGTCAGTGTTGTCATTGCTCTGAGGCCTCCTCTTCCTTGGAAATCAGGGAAAAGGGACTTCTGCTAACAGGGAAGATTGTCATGATATAAGAGCCTTGAACCTGGCGACCCTTGACGGCTACTCAGCAAGGTTTCAGTCACGAGGAGACGATGTCGATCGGTTCTGAAACGTTACTGATCAGTGTTCCCTTTGAACTCAACACGGGAAGCGCTTTTCGCTGCTCATTCTACTTCAGTCTTAAAGAAAATCAAGACATTACTCCTAGTCTGTAATGGGACATGTTGACTCAAGTAATTTTACAAATGAAAGTACAAATTGGCATCCAGTCTTAACAATGAAGGAGCAATGTTTTTCGGTAAAAACTCTACTTTAAAAAATTTTACAAGTGTAGTTTAGGAGTGGGGCTTCTGTTTCAGACTCTGCAACAGTGACTACACTGTCCAGGAGCCCATGGACAGTCTATCAGCTACTAACAAGAGTACTAGTCAAGGCTGGTTAGACTCGCAGTCTGTTGAACAGTCTGTTAGAGTTTTAAGGCGACATCAGGGAGTTTAAGCAACTGACGTAGTTTTTGAGCGATGCAGCTCAACCAGAAGTGGAGTTTTTGCACTCTTAAACCGTGATTTCGAACAAATTCTTGGACAAATCGTCTCTTTAAGAGTGAAGACTCTAAGAAATACAAATTTGGTAGCGTCAAGGTATATTTATAAAAGAAAAAGGCTCACTTCCGGTTGACGTGAGTCGATCAAAAACGTCACTGCTTAAACTCCCTATTTAACCTGTTCCATACGTCCAGATTGTGGGGGCGGTGCGAAAAGATGTGAGCAGGAAAAATAGCGAGGGGACGCCTACAACGGGCTAGGCGACATTCACTATGCGTCACAAATGTGTGCAACATGGTTGGTTTTCAAAATTATACAGCTATTTCGAGAGGGGTTGTCGGACAAAGTGCGCGCGACAATTCCGAAAGGTATGGAGGGAGATTTTGAGTTCAAAAATTTGAAAGAATGGCACGAGCAACCGCGGAGGTATGTTTGCGAGTGCTAGAGAAAGAAACAAAAGTATGTTCGACAGCTAGAGTTCAGGAACAGCGCATTGATCATATCCCATAATACCTCAGTTTCAAGATTGTCACGTGCACATTTTTTCTGACAACGTTTCTCGAAATAGCTGTACGTAAAATTGGTGAAATTTAAACATCATTTTTTTCTCACCTGATAGTCGCTGAAGAGTTAAGGTTGAAGGCTTTTCTTTCGATCTTCTTGATGAGGGACTACTCCTTGGAGAGCTGAAAAAATGCCCTCAAATATCAATGCACGGTTCAGAAACAACAATTGAAGTCTGTACAATAAATCTCGTGAGATGACCATTGCAACAGAAACGCTTTGCCATAGCTTTTGTTTTTGAGTACCCTACGAGAAGGGGTTTCTTTCTGGCGTGGCTTTTAGAATTAGTTAAGTCGTTCGCGTGGCTTGTCAGTGGCTTCAGGGGCGTAAACAAACCAACTACGCGACTGCATGACAAGCGACATGAACGACTTCGTAAACGCTAACGGCCATACATTAGAGAAACCTCCGCTCGCAGGGTAGATTTTAAGTTACCGGGCTTTAGGCAATAAGTAGGCGGAGAATTGAACAACGAGGAAGTTCTTTTAGTTTTATGTTCCTTGTGTTTCCTAAGAAAGAAGCCGGGGGTCGTAGAAATTGGCGCAAGCTGTTGTTGTTGTCCCTACAAATTCTGACAAAGCTTAATAAACACTGAAATGTATATTAATGAGTGTGTGTATACGTATACCTCCAACTTCCAGGAGGGTCATGAACCTGTGCTTGCTGCATTTCCAAAAGAGCCAGTTGTAATCTTTGAACCTGCAAGGCGAACAAAAGATGAAAAATGAACAAATTTAGAAGTTTACAAAACTGTACAGAATGAGTTCAGAGCATACAGCAATAAAAGGTTAAAAACTTGAAGACTAGAAATGATAGAAAAATGTGACCATTTCGTAAAACCAAACAAAGAACTTAGCTGTGGTTGCTGACAATTTCTTTTATTCTTGTTATCATACACTTTCGTGATTTGCCTTCGTTTTATTATCAAAAACTTGATCTTGAGATTGGGTAAAAAGTGGACTTTTGGTTTACTTTTTTATAGTTTTCTCGCTTAAAACAGACAAACTTTCTGTTTTGATTCACGAGAGAGAGAACTTAAAGCAATGGCTGCACGTTATGATTTATTAGAACTGAATACTACATTACCTCTTGGTAGTAAGTCTCACTCTGTATTTGCAGCTCTTCAATGTTCGTCATTTTCATGTCTTTCTTCAGTTTACTGTTGATTAAGATAAACACTGATGATAAATTCCGGCATGTTAATTCCTCTTTTTGTTCTCAGAGTCAATTGCTATAAAGCTGTTCAGTTCTTACCGAAACTACACATTTAAACGTTTGGCGAAAAGAACGGTTTGTGATTCGCCCTTTTCAGTGTTTCAAACGGTCATTCAAGTAAACACCAGTTATACATGTATGAACTACAATAATTCCGTCTAGACTTCTCACAAATTGAGGAAAAGCAAAAATAGTAATGGCATCAGCGTGTTGCCATGGATGTACACTGAATTCGCAACAAAAAACTGACTTTTTTGGAAACCCCTATCTATACCCTACAGCTGTGCAAGTATATTTTCGGTTTTGTTTGAGGAACGTTTGAATTTTGTGTTCAAAGACAGGAGGTTTTGTGACTGAAGAATAAGGTCGAGCCATCTTAAGCAGCCCTCGATCTATTAGATGGCCACTCAACAAATTCCCAGAATTTTCTCTCCATATTAACGGTAAATCAAGTGGAAGCAGTCACCCTGTTTCACTCTTCACTAAGCTTGTGAACAGTCAACAAGTTTGCCTCCTGCCAAAAGGAATTCTTACACTCTTTTCAACTTTCTTTCTTTCAGCTTCTTGCTTGCTTCCATGCATCAGCTTTTATCGTGCTATAACTACCGCTAAGGGCAAATAAAGGGTCCCTAGTTATTATTAGAAAATATTTATAAAGATGATGATTTGCGTCCCTCTACCTTAGTTCAGTTTCCTTGTCCTTAACAGTTCGCTCCACTGCATGGAGTTTCTGTTTCAGACTATTAACAATCTGCACAAGAAAAAGATCCAATCCATTAATTTATTCATTGAATTTTCACTTCGATTATTTTCAAAACAATTACTGTATTGTTACATTAGTTCAAAACCGCTGTATAAGCCTTCACTGATAAAGACTTAGGGCTTACAGATCAAAGGCTTAACAATTACCAATAATATTTATTTATTTTTTTAACAACAGACAAAACAAAGTGTCAAGTAATTTTATCGATTCAAATAATACAACAAAGAGTATTATTCAAATCAGTCATTTTAGGACCCATGTAAAGGTGGTTTTCACCAATAGCGTAATAAAGTGTGATGTCATAAAAATGAAATTTCTAAAATTATGGGATTTGTCAGGATATTCAGAAAGAACAATGTCCAAGAGGCCTACTTACCAAAAATGAGCATTTCGGGTCAAAATGTCTCTGAGATCGTAGCCCAGTTATGCTTAGAAAACTCCATACAAACCCTTTTAAATTTTTTTGGGGTCGACCCAAAAAAAATTTAAAAGGCCTAGAGTTTCTATATAACGTTACAATGTAAAAGCAACTACAAATTTGACACAGTGGCTCATTTTCTTAGTTGGCAAAATAAAATAATAAAATTGTATTAAATAAATAAATAGGTTTATAATCAAGCCAAGTACTTACAGCACTGGTGTCTCCCTTCTTGTCTGTTAGTGTCCTTCTCATGTCCTCTGGCTGTGGAGGAGATGCCCCATTGAAAAGAAAAATACGTTTAGTTCACACTTGATGAGCACAAATTCCAATAAAGAAAAAACTATGTATTTATTGCTATCAATAATTAGTAAAATCCAGCAAGTGGTCTATTATCAATGCTGCGCTCTGGTTGGTTGAGCTACTACTAGGCTATATGTTATAGCCCGCTAGTAGTGAAAAACGCTGGCTTTGAAACCAAAACAATGGTGACAATGGATTTAACTAAAACAATTATTCCTCTCTCCCTCATGGCCTCTGAGTCAATAGCCCATTTGGCCATCAGCCTCATGGACTATTGACTCAGAGCCCATTCGGGCTCAAGGAATAATTGTTAATTATCCCTGCCTAATTTAACTATTTCCTAGATAAAGCTGAATACGAAATACAATAAAGATACCAGGGAAAAAGAAAACAAAGAAACATTCCAGGCAACAAACCAGAAAAAAAATGGGGCAACTATTTTTATTAGTGTGTTGCAATGACACAAGATGGATATTACATCATACCTTGCAATAAAAAAAGTAAAGCTTCATGGAAAGCTTAGTTTGCCGCCAAACAGAAAAAAATATTATTTTACATTCTTAACTTTTTCTTCTGGTTCTTATAGTCCTGAATTATGTCACTGTTTCTGCATCTTGAAAAATTTAGTGTTGTTTAAGGTTTATGTAATCCACTTAATCTCTTTCTTGAACCAAGATCCTTAATCTTTTATGGTTTACTATACTTCTTTATTGTTTTTTCTGTTTTAAGAAAATTATTAATATTTTGAAGTTTCCTTTAACTTTATATTTAGAAATCCTGTACATTGAAAAAATAAGACTATAAATACTGTGACAGAGCCCATTACAATGTAAAAAATCAATCAGTTATATAAAGTACTCTCAAAGCAAGATTATAACATGAAAAATATGGGGGAAAATTATCCATGATAGAACAAATCTTTATGCAATTTTTAGAAAATAGTTAAATCTGTGAATAAATACATCCAATCACAACAACCCTTGCAGTGAAGAGTTTGTTGGAAGTTGCTTATAAGTTAGGGAAAAAATGAATGAATTATCAGGGAATTGCACTTGTCCTTTCCATACAGGTATCACTTGTGTATATTGGAGAAGGCTAAGAGGGTATGGTGAAATCAAATAGGACAGATTAACAAGAGGGGCAACTTGTAACAAGAGGTGCTGAACACCAAATGTACATCAGTTAGTTATAACGTCTATGAGCTATTGGAAAAAAGTGGTCTTCACTTCTTTTACAAAATTACATTTGTAAACATAGTGACTATCCATTACATAGTCTGCTTCTAAGGTGCAAAGATCCATTGGCACACCTTAGAAAAGATCCCGTCTAAGACCTAATACAAAATAATACTGAACCCTTGAAACAGATAGCTTTTTAATAAATTAAATTCAAGTATACCTGAATTTGTCATTTTATGTATATTTTTCTCATGAATCTAATGGCTACTTATTATGACCATGATTAGGATTAGGATTCATTCTCATAAACTCATAAACCTGATTTCCTTTGTCCTTGGGAGCTGGGACCAAGCCATGGACCTAGGCCATCATTAGCTATTATTATCATTTAAATTATTATTACTAGTGATAACCAAAGGTTAGGGAGTGCAGGCGACAACGATCGAAAGTCCAAACACTTTTGCTCCAATGCTGCGCTTTGCCTAAGTTTCATGTGACAGATGGTCCAAACCATGCATGATCAGATTACCAGGGGCAGAAGGTCGAGATGTGCGTGACCAAATTGCGTTCTGTGCATTCCATTCATTCTTAGTGGAAGTCCAAACAAATGCTGGCTACATAATGTGACGCATGCGTAATAACAACCTGGAGATAAGGATTGCGGACTCCTCTTGTCGCCTGCAATTGTTAGTATTATTGGGCTTCTGTTGCATACCTGCTTTCGTTGATTTAATAGGTCTTCAAGTTTTCGTTCCTGATAAGAAAAAACAACCTTGAGCACAAAATCTTTGTGACTTAAGATTGTAAACTTGGAGTTTGAATTTTTAGTAAAAATAGTCCACTTGGTTAGTTCTAACAACTTATTTTACTATTAAATTTGCCACCAAAAAGAGATTTAACAGCTGACATCTTGAGCACTAGCCCTTTTGTGGACTGGAGCAAGGCAAGGGATTATGGGTTTGCATTGTCTACAAATTATAATGAATGATGATCCATACTTTTGGTACACCCTTACCTTTAAAACATTGTCCCCTTCAACTCTCCGAAGTTTTGTGTTGATAACATTGTTCTCTTCCTTCAGGGCATTTATAATCTAAACACACATAGAAAGAATTTTGCAAAAAATTTATACTAATTTGCTAATATTGTAGTTTTAAGGGCCCATAAAACCCTAAAGTAAGGTCACACACTTTTTTACCTTCATTTTGAAACCAAGGGGATTTGGAACTTGCAAATGGCCTAATTCTTATTCACAAAATTGTCATTTCTCCGCTCACTAACCTTCTTTAACTCTATGATCTCATCATAGTAGTCTTCCTGTGGTTTATATGCAGGACCTCCTCCTGTCAATTGAGGTTCACCTTCAATAAGAAGTGAGAAAGAACACTACAACTTAAAAAAAGTAAATTATAACCGGTGGTTGTACTACTAACAGCACTTGGATGGCATAATTTATTTGTTTATACTGTTAAATAATCTTGAAATAATTCATAGCTCCACACAAAACAATGATTAAAAGTTGTGAAACTGTGAATTGCAATACTTTATTGAATCAACTAGTTTAAAAATCATGTGAAGTTTGTTGAAAACTGTGGAGCTGAGCTTCATCTAGTTTTTCTTTGTGAACATTTTCATCAAAGTAGTTTACTTATAAACCCGTCTCAATATATACAGTAAAAGATTGTATAAAGAAATAATAATGTTGAAAGAGATAAAGATTATTAAAATATATATATAATTTCATCAAAACATACTCGCAGACATGCTTGCACTTCTAACATGATTCTTATTTTTTAAGTCTTTAACCTGAAACCAAAACAAAATTGAAAGGAGTAAATATTTACTTAGCAATTTAGCTGAAGGAAAAAGACACTTCAAGATGTCACACATCTATGCTCACAGCAAGACAGCATGTTTGAAAGTTTGAGAAAACTGGCTACATTGCATGATGCGATCACTGGTTTCACTACAAATGATGTCTGAGAGACTACAGCAGAAATTCCACACTGATGACATGTCAGTAGTGCTTGTGATTGGTTGAAGCAACTTTTCAACCAATCAGAAGCACTAAAACAAGATTTGGATAGTGACACATGATCAGTATAATTATGGAATTTCTGTGCTTGTTTCTAAGAAGTCATTTTGAGGAAACCAGTGGTGGCATAGCAAAATGTCCGATGTTTTATCAGGCTACATGTTTGAAAATGAGTGAAAATAAACCAGTCATACAAGAGTTTCTATGTTGTATGACCTCAAAAAATGAGCAAAAATGATGGTAATGACCACAAACAACCTGACTCTGTTTTACTAAGCTGTACATGCATACACCCGGGGTGCTTACTATTTGACAGAAAATTTCCGAAATTCTGGATGGAAGGTAAATGGTAAGGTCTCTTTTCGGAAATTCCAACCAAAAATTGAGGAGTATGTTTTGAGGTAGTCCTAGCTTTCATTCCGGTTGGTATGAAACAAATGGAATTTTGCTTAACATTAACCAATTTCTCGGTTCCTCCTCGGTTCCAGACTCACGCTACACGAATTCGCCTTTTTTGGATTCAAACCGTTATGGATGTGGCATTTCTACGGTAAACTGGTAAAACGCTTACCATTATGCTTTTGACACCCCAACTGGATTTTTCTGTCAAATAGTAAGTACCCCAGTATAACATGGTTGGAGCATGCATAAGGACCTGATTGTACAGCTGTATGCACAAGAAGAACTACAACCTATGCCCAAGAACGATAAGAAATAAAAATGATAGGCCACAACACAAAAAAGTCTAATGACCACTGAAGAACGACTCCTTTCAGATAATTGACTCAAATCTGTTTGTAGACTTCTAAAACTTACTGAAACATAATCACTCATATGCCTTGCTCGACTTCCAGTCTTCATCTGTTTGCTGCTATGAGAGGGCCTGGTACCAGACCAAGTATTCATGGCAGAGTTTTCTGTGCTAAGAGCTAAAAGTGAAATATATATTAAAAAAATAACGAATAAGGAAAAAACAAGCATCTAAGGGGTCTTTATGACTATTACAGAAGACTAAAGAAAACCACTGGCAGTGCTGAGCTGACTCCACTTATTTAAGGAAAAAAAACCTCTTCCACATACATGTAGTGCTCACAGCCTCATCAAATGTATCACATATTACAGTGAAAGGTTTGAAGCCAGTAGTCATTTCATAAGTAAATGGAATGTGATTGTGCTGGTGAGTGTTGTCCTGGGGCCAGTTGCTCGCAGGTCGATTAGTACTAACCAAGGGTTAGATTTTAACCTGGGTTTCTTTTTCTTTTTATCTAACACATTTTCTTGCATAATTTTCTCTATTCTTTTTAGAGTATCCAATCACCAAATTGCAAACAAAAAGAATTCAACTGAATTTGCTGTTGAGGCGTTCATATCTGAATTCAAATTTCGCACTAACCGTGGGTTATCTTAACCCAGCTTTGAACAACCTGGCCCTGAATAGGACTGTTGTAGTACCATAGATTGTTTGGGATGGATAGTTATGTTGATGATATGAAAATCATCAACATAAGACTTTTTCCTGACATTTTTTCAAATTAATGATTTCTTTTTCCAGACTCAAGGTTAACAAATAGGTGATCAATAGAGACCTTCAAAAAGCAGGAACAAAGCTTTTTTTCACAACACAATGCAAACATACATGTACATTCAAGACAACAAACAAAATTCACTTACATGTATAAAGTACTTGTTGTAGCTTTGAAAAAACTCAAGACTTTTATTGACCATTCTTCCAGCCTTTTTCCAGTTCTGGAAAATTACTGGGCAAATTTCAAGAGTTTTTAAAGAATTCAAGACTCTGTATGAACCCTATATGTAGCAGAGATAAGCTTATACAAACCAATCCTCATGACTTAGATGTAAGCCTCATAATGTTACCTACAGAGAGATAATTTCATTCCAACCCCTCTCACACCCGTGGACAAATTTCTCATGCCTTGCTTAAAACTTTGAGCTATCACAGCCTACTTATTTAAGATGCACTTTTTCGATAAATGTGTAAAATTAATGTAATAAACTGGAACAAATGTAAGGAAAAAAAACTTCACTACAGTGAATCAAAATATAATAAAGTGAATGATCATACTCTGAAATCTCTGATTTTAGAAGTTGGTCAATGTGGTATGCATAATTATTCTATTGAGAACTTTTCATCTCTTCCAAACACCTTTGGAATCTTTATGCACTTTTAGGTATGGTTGGTTCCTCTGTGAAAACACTGGCCTTTGCAGGAAAAAATCTCATGTCTTTCAGCCAAAAAAAGTTGGCAGATACATGTATATTATAAGCTGTCTTGATATTTGATCAACTTCTCTTAAACACCAAAAAGGCGGTGAAAGATAGATAGCAAAAACTTGCGTGTTGATATGTTAAAAGATTTAGAATATCACATACTGCTTGTTCCACTTCTCATTGCAGTGATCCACATGTTTCTTGCAGCAGGCTTGGGAGGTTGATGCTTTGAGGAGCCTTTGAGTGTAGAGCTGGAGTAAGGGGACTTTGCTGTTCAAAACAAATAAATAGGGAGTTTTTGACGTATACGGCAAATGGCAGATTTAAGTTGAGAATTATTTTATCAAAATAGAAAATAAGCAGATAAAAACAGCTCAAAACAATTCTAATGGATGAAAAATTGCCTGAGACTACTAATGTCGGTGTAGAAATAATGAGCAGTAATCGACAAGTAAAGAGGAAACTTTTATCAATCATGCAGTACAAATTCGCCTTTGCCGTTTGAAGTAAACGTGATGCTTAACCTCTCCAATAATGGAAGAGCTTTTACTTTTACTGGAGATGTACATTTGTAACACTTAATAGCGGATGGAAGCTAAGACAGAAAAATAAATTTATGTGAGATACAAAAATATCACACTAAAATTGTAACTAAATGCACATAACAATAAAATCAATATTTACATTATTTTACAACCATAATTAAGATTAGGAGTTTTCTTTGTTTATTTGTTTTTGTTTTTTGAAAACCATAAAAGGTTAATTCAAACTTTCATTTAACTGTAACCCACTTTCCATCAGCTGAAAATCTTTATTACACCATACATGTACTTCTTCAATTGGACTGTACAACATGATTTCTCCATTAATGCACATCGCACTAGACTCAGAAAGCAATAGTCAGACATGTATACATAATTTGTTACACAGAGGCAAATTAAAAGTAATGATATTTCAGTCTCTCAAAGTTATTTTTATGCACTGCTCGTTAGACAAAGTTCTCTTGAAACATGCCCCATCCAGTGGAAATTAAAACCTTTTTTGAAGTTCATGCCCCTGTAGCTGGTACACCCAGGAGAAACACTGTTTTTCAACATTCTTTCTAGCCTCTAACAGGAACAGAGTGAGTGCTTCAAAGCAGAAAGATAAATCTTACCAACTCTAGATCTTCGGCCTTGCACAGACCTTGGTCTCCTTGAACCACCTTAGTGTACAAGTACATTCAAAAAATATAAACAAGAATACAGTGTAAGTGTCAGAAATTGTTAGTAACAGTTTGTCCCAAATTACCAATAAACAAAGCTTTAACAAAGTAGTGAGCTCCCCTAACTTTCAGAAAAAGCAGGTTTAAGGAGCCATACCTGCAAATTTAGCTTGCATAAAGCTTAAAGTGTTTAATGTTTAAGGAGCCATTCCTTAAGTTTGCATACAACTTAACATGGAATCCACTAGCAAAATTGAGTAATTTTAATTTTCAGTGGACAAAAAGCTTTTACCAGAAAATTTAAGGTGGCTCCCTAGAGTATTTACTAATAACCCTAGCTATCTAGCATACGTTACAGAACGAAATCTAGTTACTTTGTCTTTGCGACTTTGTTCACGAGATTCTCCGCTAAGTTTACCCATATAAGAAGGCTCCTTTATCAAGGTTCATTTTCTGGATTAACGCCATTGCCATGGCAACATCGCATCCTTTGACAGGCAGTAATTTTGTCATTTTTGATCATTTTTTCTTAATATTTCTTATTTCCCTCGGCGAAATGTCTTTAAACTTTGCCACTTTATATTAACGATATTGCTTAACATTTTAAAGTGGAAAAAACATGGGGTCATTAAGACGGTTTTGCCAATATTTTGAAATTTGTAATTTTTCTTAATGGAGGAATTTAGCTCTTACAGATTTTAACAAAAAGAGGACAGTACAAAGGCACTGCAACTGTTAAGAAATGAGGCGATTTTTAAAAAAATTTACCGAAGGAAACGCGAGAAATTTACGGTTAATTAACTACGTTGACATCACAAAAATCCGAAAAACACACGTGGTTTGGGGTCGTATGAGCAAAATACGCGTGCGAGCCATCACGCCCGCATGCGCATAATGCACAAAGCTACTGAAAAGATGTGGTTTCGTTGAAGAGTACGAAAGCCATTGTTTTGAAGCCGTTGAAAAAGGAGAGATAGCGGATTCAGTTTTATACCTAACACAAGATGTTATCTTCGAAGTACTTGACTGTTGTAGCTAAAAATTCGAACCGTGGTGGTCACTCGTGAGGATGGCGATCGTCAGAGATGAAGACGGTGGTTGTGCAAGGATCGCAATAAGCCCTTTATTGCCTAATCTGCTGTACACTGTTTGCAGATCTTCAAATGTCAGCCTACTTCCGGATACTTTTTCAACCTTGTTCTTCTTAAGGGATAATTTCGACGGCAAAGCTTTTCTTTAAAAGTCTGCCGTAAAAGATGGTGCCGATCTATAATCGTACATCATGTCCTCAGCTACACGTACAAGACCTTAGGTCTCGACGGACAACTATTGCCTTCTTCAAGGGTCAATCTGTGAGTAAAAATTATTTCTCGTCATGCAAAAACATTTTCTAGTGCATCTTGCATGTGCGTTGAAGGACGTTTGAAACAAGAAAAAATACAAAGATGTTGGTTCGTCGATGGAAAGGTTCCTTCGGTTGGGATGCAAGTTAAGTGGGAAACCTTTTTTCTGATAAGTTTTTTAAACAATGTGATAGAGTCGGCAAAACAAAAAATTACACTCTCTGTAAACTTGTCTTAAAGCCACTTCTAGAATTACTTAAATCAAATCAAATGTTAAAGAAATAAAGTGACCGAGGAACTCTGCCAGTGAAGACAATCTTCATTGTTTGTTTGGGAATTGGCTCGATCTTTCAGATCTTTCCACTGACCGTGAACCAGAGGCCAGTAACAGCAACATTGCTTCCTTCTGGGTTAGTGTATTTACTTCTTTGTTTTCTAAGTAAAGTTTCCACTCACCATTTACTTCGACTATTTAACGTTTGTCTACTTCAATTTTAAAGCGAAAGAATTGATGTCTTTGGAAAATATCTGCTTTGTTTTTACATACAATTTTCTCTGACTTATGGAGATCAATAGTGACTTGTAACCGGTGTAACATTGTCTCCTCTCATAAATGTTTGACCTACACTAATCAAACTTTTTGCACAATGAGCTTCAATAGAAAGTTAATAAAGAGTTTTGGGGGAAATATTTCGAAACTGAGAGGCCATGTTTGTTTTAATTTTTGCGTGGACGTCGCGTGGATTTTAAAGCTCGCGCCATACTAGTGCTCAGGCTGCGCACAGCCAATTTACTCTAGGGAGCCACCTTAAAGAATATTGCATTATTTTTTACATTTTTCAAGGGCTACAGATGTAATTAGTTACATGTAATAACACCAAAAAAAATTTCTTATGGGAGCCTGAGAAAATGAATGTCAAATTTCAGAAGAATTGTGAAAACAAAGGGAAAATTCTGAAAATTTCATGTGTAAGATGTCATTTTGTGAAGTTTGACATTTATTTTCTCAGGTTCCCATAAGAAATTTTCTTTGGTGTTATTACCCATAACTAATAACATTTAAAGCCCTTGAAAAATGTAAAAAAGAATGTAATATTCTTTAAATTATTCTGGTACAAGGTTTTTGTCCACTGAAAATTAAAATTACTCAATTTCCTGATGGATTCCGTGTTAAAATGTTTAAGGACCAGATATTTTTTACAGTCCAACTGAAATTAATTTATTTGAAAATAGTGACACATTTTTGTAGTCCTCAACATATCCATTCATTCTGTTTCCCTAAGGGTCACATTTTCTTGGAGGCAGCACTAAACTTAAAATAGTTAAGTATAAGCTAAGCATAAGACTCACTTTCCATTTTTTATGTTTGGAGGAACACAACATTTTACTCTGGGGGTAAAATTAATTTATTAAGAACTTAGCTGCTTTTTAAGGGTATTATACATGTAAGGGTATTATTTTGATATGATGGCTCAGGACAGTGCTCTAGCAGTGCCCAGTGGTCCGGGCCTGTCACTTTACTTTTACTCCTAGGTGACTAGAAAATAAACTTTTGTTCATAAAAATCATATGGTCATCACAGGTTTAGAGCACAGGGCTACCATATTTCCTCGAATAATAGCCGGGGGCAATTATTCGAAGGAAGTAACAACAGCAACAACAACAACAATACCTTTATTCGAAGGCAATTATCCAAGGGAGGCAATTATTTCAAATATTGCTCATGATCACTGGAAGTCGTGCCTCAATTTATTTTCTTTTATTATACCATCAAATAAAAAAAAAATTATCACATCAAATAAACTGAACGTGGCTTTTTAAGTGTTCCAAATTTGGTTCCCTGATTATTCTCAGAGTTTGAATCATCAGTGATCAGTTTTGCTGTATCAGATTCCATGTCAACTTGACATGTACAGGGAGGGGATAAAAGGAAGAGAAGATGGCGAGAGGTGGGGAGGGGTAATTATTCGAGGGAGGCGATTATTTCAAATGTTTCCATCAAAGGGGGACAATTATTCGAGGGAGATGATTAATCAAGAGATGGCCATTATTCGAGGAAACATGGTATATTGGCTCCCTCCAATTTTTGTCAGAGAACAATCTTCGGCTATAACTACAATCACGGACAAAAGTAGTTGGGAAGGTGGAATAACTTAACAACATTTTTGCTCCATTTCATACGCCTTATTTCTATGTTGAAAAAAGATTATTTCTTCTTCTCCTGAATACCCCCCGCGCCCCCTATTCAATGTAGGGACATGTAACAACAATTACGCACAAAAACCATTTTAGTTTTGTCCAACATTGATCCAGGGGCGGGGGGGACAAGTACAAAAAAGGTAAAAATTGGTAACCTTCCCAACATTTTTGACGATGATTGTGTGAGAATAGAAAATTGTCTTTTAACGCTTGTAAAACATGTGGCTTTTAACATTTCGCTTAGATTTCTCACCCTGGAAATCTATTGATAATGTACTTTACAATGTGTATATAAAATGGAATAAAGCTTTAGTTTCGTTAAAATCACCATCATGAGATCCTTGCATCTCACATACGTGACATGTCAAAGCGTGACCACAAAATCCACTAGCATGTGTAGATTGTTTTTTAACAACGTCGGAAAAAACCTTTATGTTGCTTACTTTCCGGCGATAGATTAAATGAAGGTTCCTTGTTTGGAGAAAGTGGAAAGAATCGCCATAGCTTGTATGTTTCATTACATAAAATTAGAAGACATGAGAGCAATTAGTGCTAAATGTCACACGTTTGTTGTTATGCATTTTTGCGTCTGTTCAGTTACACAGTTTCACTTCGTATCATTTCAGTGAGTTCTATGATTTTAAGGACGAAACAAAGAGAAACAACTTGAAAAACAACTACAGTAAGCAGGAGGCTTAGGGACAATAAACGTTTTCGAGAAACACCGGAAAATTCTAGTTGCACACGTATGCGTGAAACCTGTGGGCCGGGAGGGGTGTGACATGAGTGCGGAATTTTCTAGACTGTATTCTCTTAGGCGACGAATTTCGAAAACCTGTATATAACAAACTGTTGATTTTCCAATACAGAAATAAATAATTTCAATCTATTGATTACGCAATGGTATTCAGAGGAAAAATACCTGCAGAGAAAAGAGCGTTAGCAATATTTTTACGCCAAGAATCTGGCCTGAGTTATCCGAAAATTGCTGAGAAATGTAACATTTCAACCTCCTCCGCCGAAAGAATTTGCAATGAGAATCTTTTTCAAAGACAAAACTCGGGCCACTCAAGGAAACGCGGTCGACCAAGAAAGATTTCACTCCGTATGAAGCGGTTATTGAAAAGAAACCTCTTGAAAATGAGGAGACAAGGTGTAGCAGTAACTGTGAAGAGACTTCTCACTTACAGTGGACTAAGCCTTCAAACCGCAAGTATTCGCACGTATTCCAGATGCTTAAATGAGATGGGTTTCTGGTTCTTACAAGCTAGAAAAAAGGGTCTTCTGAAAGAAAGTGACAAAAAAGACCGGCTTCAGTATGCAAGGAAAATGGCACGCTACGAACGAGATTTCCCAGGTTTTTGGACTGACGAAGTAGCTTTTTATTTAGATGGTGTGTCTTTCATATACAAGACCAATCCCATGAGCACAGCAATGGCTCCAAAGGCAAGAGTATGGCGTCAAAAAAGCGAAGGCTTGCAAGTAACCAGCAAAGGCTCGAAAGATTTAGCGGGAGGAAAAAGGCTGCACGTAATGGTTGCAATAGCTTACGGAAAAGGAGTTATTCTCAAAGAGCCCTATGACAAATTGAATGGCCAGTTCTTTGCTAATTTCATTAGGCAGCATTTTAATTTATGTTTCGGACGTGCAGGGCCAAAACGAGATGGAAAGCGTCTATTTGTTATGGATAACGATCCAAGTCAGGTGTCCAAATTAGCTATGAGTGCTCTAAGAGAAATTGAATGCGAACTTTCGAAGATACCTTCTCGTTCGCCAGACCTGAGCCCATGTGAATCTATTTTTCATATTGTCAAAGATTCATTAGACGATGAAGCGATTGAAAAACACATCAGCAAAGAATCATTTGGCGACTTCAAAAACAGAGTGTTGCGCACATTTAGCGAGATGGATACTGTTGTCATTGATAAAACCATAGAAAGTATGTCCAATAGAGTTCTATCAATTATTGAAGGAAAGGGTTGTCGAACCAAGTATTAAACAAACGTAAACAAGGTATTTTAATGCTAACATACTTCACTTCTTACACTATATTATGTTGACATGTACTGACGATGTCATTAAGGGAATAATATAATAAATTGGAGCTTCAACAATTTACAGTGTGATTATCTTTTTACGCTAATGTCGTCACCTGTCAATCATTAAGCTATTTTGAGAACAGTAAACCACAACGATTTTCACAGTACTCCACCACATTACTCCATAAGAAAGTCCCAAATACATCACCAATGAACCAACATTCTTGTGAACAAAGTACAAAAATATGTAAACCGTATTAGAATATGTTCCATTTTTCCTTCATTTTTCCAAAGAAATAAATGTAACTAGTGATTTTCAACATTACTCCATTGAAACAGTGTCTAATAAAGGTCAATTAGTTAAGTCAAGTTTAATTTAAACGCTAGCTGCGGAGTAATGTGGTATTTTCCTTACAAAAACGCTAAAATGGCCCTTAAAAAGCATAGCACTAACTCCTTTCAAAGTCCTGCACAATTCAATATAACTTTTTTCTCTTTGGAGCGACTATAAACGAAATAATTTCCGCTACTTCAATGGAGTAATGTGGCCTCCCACGTTTGCGCCTTTTGACTCATTGTGTAATCAGATTAGCGAAGACAATAGACGCGTTACTCTAAGTTATTTTAAAAGACTCTACTCAGTGATGTTGTCTAAAATCAGTTTTGAAAAGCAGTGACCACAAGGAATTAACTGGAGTTGTTCAGCTGGTGGAATTTGTCTCCAGAAGTGGAAAAATCTCCACCTTACATTCATCATTTCAGTGTTTGCGTGGCAAACACTTCCCCCCTTTATGTAAACAATTGGCGCGTCTGATGTTGCGAAGATAGGGGTATCGTTGCTAAGCTCAATGTCCCGTTTCGAGAAATTTTTGGGAGCTGGTAAATGCACTATATCTCCCTCTAGCAACAGGAGCATGTCAGCCCACGCTATTATGGAGGGTTTCCACCGAAAATCATTCAACATGATAATTTCCGCCTCTTCTGCACCAACCCAGGCAAAAGTTCCAGTGGCGGGATTACAAAAAGTGCCATACATGCTTTTCAATGGGGCGAACACGAAACTTTTCCCGCAATAGGCAACTCCATGTATAAACAGGTTTCTGTACTTTCCTCTTCCTTTTTCCAGCAACGTCAAGACAGCTTGGCCGAAAACACTGACGCTGATTTCATTTCTATTCAGGAGGTTAACTGCCGCCTCTAGCCACTTTCCCTCACAGTTGGAAACGCATTCGGCAGAGTAGCTTTCGTGTAGAAGTTGCATGCGAGTCTTCTGTGACCTTTCATACTTCGCTTCCGCAGTTGCCAACTCCTGCGCGATAGCCAGACACTCATCTACTGCTTTTCCACCCCTGTTACATATAAATTCCGCCAGCTCTGTCTTCCCTTCCCGATTTTGTGAAGCTGCTATAGACAGAAGCTGTAGCCGTGATTTTACGTTCTTAGCCTGGATAAACTGGGCAACCTCGTACACTGAAAGACCACGCTTTCGTTTCGTCTTCTTACCCCCAGTACGGCCAACTGCTTTTCTCTTCTTTCCTGAGATTGCCTTCTCAGTTCTCGGTGGACGCGCATTGCTTAGGTCTGGGTGACCCTCTGAGTGAACACAGAAGTCATCTTCCTTTGTGGTGTATTTGTACGCAGAGTAGTATGTGTTGTGTACGGCGCTAAAGTTCACCCTTATGCCGTAGCGGTCGTCTAAGAATTGGCGTACCTTCAGCCAGCGAGCACGTTTTTCCAGTTTCATTGCCATGTGATAATGGGAATTGCTCTCTGAAACACCTGCATCAGCGTGTAATTCTCGCGCTACAACCCGCTGCACAACCTTAACACCCGTCATTTCCATCCACCCTAGTGAGACCTTTTCGGCAAATGCTTCTCTTGTCGCAACTTTTTCTACATCGGCTCTGCTATATGTCACAAGATACACAAGTCGCTGCTCACGGTTTCGCAAACTATCATTTACCTGTGCCATTTTCAGGGTTGTTATCGTTGTCCGTAGACCTTTCAAACAGGCCAAAACAAACTGTCTTTCGCATTACAAAACAATTTCGACTCCTCCCCTTCGCATAAATGACAGCAGAACTTTAAACACGTGAAATACTTTACAGATATCACTCATTGAAGCTGTCCCGACACAAAAATAATCATAACAATACATGTCCTTATGTTCCCAAAAAATAATAATCATAACCTAATTGTATTAGCCATTTTATTCGCCTGAAATGATAAAAACAACGCACAGTAACTCTTACTTTTCACGAGAGTACCAATTCTGTGTTTTTTTTAAAGACGTGCTTTACTATAGAAAGTCGTTGACTTTTGTTTCTTCATGACCACACCCAGAATTTCAAGACAATCACGGACAAAAGTAGTTGGGAAGGTGGAATAACTTAACAACATTTTTGCTCCATTTCATACGCCTTATTTCTATGTTGAAAAAAGATTATTTCTTCTTCTCCTGAATACCCCCCGCGCCCCCTATTCAATGTTGGGACATGTAACAACAATTACGCACAAAAACCATTTCAGTTTTGTCCAACATTGATCCAGGGGCGGGGGGGACAACTAAAAAAAAGGTAAAAATTGGTAACCTTCCCAACATTTTTGACGATGATTGTAGCAATTAAGTACTAGATACAATGCACTATCCACTTGAGGAAATACTTTAACCCTTTCATGTTAACAATTTTTTATGATGATAACAAGTATTTGTACCTGTAGGGGGCCTTGGCATGTGTCCACTACTGCCTGAGGCTGCGCTTCCCTAAATAAACAAACAAACAAACAAACAATGGTCATTATGTAACATGTGTATAAGATGTCAGTCCTCTATAAACCCCTCCAAAGTAAAGTATTTAGAAGTGGCTTTGTTGTGGTTCAATTTTATGCTTGGTTTAAATTTTATTTCCTTTTGTTTTGGGGTATCGTAATGTATGATAATGACTTTAAAACAAAGGAAAATAAAATTTAAACCAAGGATAAAATTAAACCACGACAGCTACAACAAAATAATTTGTCCACCCATGACTCGACAACACATTACAGGGCCCCTCACTAACAACAACAGTCATGCAAGGAAAACATTTTTAAGTCCATTCTAATTAGATACATCTTCCCACTTGACTATGATTTACTCCATGGTTTTCAGTTTATCATTATATAACTACAGTTTTGGGCGATCTACCATATCCAACCAATTATTGGTTGTTAAATAAAATTGCCCTCCTTTATCAAGGTTGTGCTCTAAGATTTACCGGTAGTCCTAGAAGCTTAGAAGTCTGAAACTAAGAAGTGCAGGGTACATGCGACATGAAAGATTTGTACAAACATAACTTGAAACACTAAAGCATTTTCTGTTACTCAGAGCATACTTAGTAAAAGAAACTGGTTAGGAAAGCCAGCAAACATTAAAGATGAAAACAAAGATGCTGCAGTTTATATTGGAAGCTCCCTGACCATGCACTATCCAATGTTTCTATCAATTAGGAAGTTCAAAGTGATAGGAATGCTATTGAATGTTGGGTACAGCCGAGTCTAAAAAAGCTTTGAACAAAAACATAATAACAAAGAAGTCTGTCAGGCTTCGTAACCATTCCACCTTATCAACCATGCTCAGAGATAAAAGTAAGTCTTTAAGTTGCACCACAATACTGAAGGTGGGGTTTTATGGTCTCTTATCTTTACAGAGCATTTCATCATTCAACTGATCATTGGACTTCACAGCTGGTGGTTTTTCTGTTATGTTTATTTTTTTTCTCTCTCCCTCGTCCCCTCCCCCATCGCTGCCGTACATGAACTGAAAATGACAATCACACCAAAAAAACTTGCCAGCTATGCAGCCTTACTCATCCTTGGCATGCATAGTATAGGGTAAGTATTTAGAGTTTAAGCAGTACATTACTACCCTGGTCAAACGTACCAATAACACCTAGGTATAGCTGTTGTAGTTCAATTTTATCCTTGGTTTAAATAATTTCATTTTCCTTTGTTTCAAACTCATTCTTATACATTACCATACCCAAAAACAAAGGACAATAAAATTTAAACCAAGGATAAAATTGAACCACAACATAACGGTATCCAGTATATGTTTACAAATTATTATTACATATAAAGTAGCATGCTTGTTTTGCTTCATAGCTCAAAGAAAGAAGTATCTGACATGTTTAACATGCTTGTCAAAGAACGAGGTTCATTGTAACTTACATGAGTAGCACACTTTTTCACCCCATGGCTTTAACAATGAGGTATAAAAATTATGACATCTTGCATGCTTGTTTCGTTAGCCTTATGGCTTGAAGAATACTAAGGTATTTCACTTGCCTAACATTCTTGTATTAATTAACTCATCAGATTGACCCTAATGCGATGCTTTTTTTAAGTCAGCAAGTTGTTCTGTTGAGTCTACAATAACTTTCTCAACTAGTACAACTTGTATGACTCTTAGCAGTGGCCCCCTTGAGTGAATAAAATGTCTCCCTAACAAGATGCAATTTTCTCGTTGGCAAACCTGTCACAATGACCCAACCTGTCCAATCAGACATGCTGAAAAATGTATTTTTCAACTTGGATCAGTATGATAATATTGGAAATGACTGGTTACCGTAAAAACTCGTGTATAAGCCGCACTCGTGTATAATCCGCACCCCCAACTTTCAAGCATGATTTTGAAAAAAAAAAAGACCAAAAATGCGCTTTTGTAAAAAAGGTGATCGTTTGTTCGCGCATCAAAATGTTCACAAATAAACTTGAGGAAATTAAATGTTGTGTATTTGTAGTGACATTTTAAATAAGTTAATCAACTCTGAAAGTACCTTTTAAAAGGTTCTCTTTAATCAATTTCCCCATTTCCTGCGAAAGACAACAGTTCTCTTCATTGCTAAAGCCCACAGTTGAAATGAAAATGGAACGATGGAACGAAAATAAAGCGCTGGAGAATGCTACAAAACGATTGCTTAGTAACCACGCGGTTATTTGACGAGGGAAGTTCAGGAAACGTTCGCTTTCGCATCAGCGTGGATATCATGTTTATAAACACGTATGGAAACCATCGATCGGGGAAAAGCTTGTTGCTAAACGAGAGTTTAACAACCCAATGGACAAACACGCCGTGAAAGTAGTGAAGGACGACGAAAAGGTCGGCCATTTGCCTCGCGAATTCTCTCGAATAACGTGGTATTTTCTTGCACGTAGTGGGGAAATCAGCGTTGAAGTGATCGGTCGCAGACGACACTGTAAGCAGCTGTGCGGAGGAATGGAGATTCCGTGCCAGTGAGAGTTTAACTGCTCAAACAAAGCGCAGATGAAACGCTTAAAAGAACTACTGGCGAGCAAGATTCAGGTATAGAACCTGCAGATGCAAACAAACGGCTCCTTTAGGAGCCACCACTTCTACTGAAAGCAATGATCAACGACAGGTTTCAATATGTATAATCTTTATCTACTGAAGGTCTTCAGTTCAATTTGTGACCCCTACAAGCCAGTTTACTCCCTTTGAGAGCAATGGTCTCGTGCATAAGCCGCACCCGCGATTTTTGACTCAAAATTTCGGCAAAAAGGTGCGGCTTATACACGAGTTTTTACGGTATTTTGGGGCAGTAATATCTCTGTTTTAGGGACCATGAATAGAGGTGTTGTCGATGCAATACACTTTGCATTTATGTTACTGTAAAGTCAATACCGTAAATGATCGATTAAGTGCTGCTACTCGACTTAGCACTACTCTCGAATAAGCACCTCACCTTTACCGAAAATAATTCAATAAGAACCACTCTCGAATAAGCACTGCTGTACTAATTTGGGTATTTACAAATTAGCGCCCCACCTTTGTTACGGCACTTGATATAAAGAGATATCAAAACCATACCACTTGAGAAACAAGACCTCGACCAACTCATGAGTTCTAAAGTTTTAATGCAGGCAAACTCTTGAAACCGGGTTCATATAACATTTTGAGGAGTGCATATTTTATATTAAATTGTGCATACCTAGTGCACGCCTCACTTTATTCTCTCTATATTCCCCTCAGTGTCTTACCCACACTTGAAATAAGTGCTGCTTTCAAATAAGCGTCGCTCTCGTATAAGCACCGCACCTATTACAGGGAAAATTAAATAAGTGCCGCGGCGCTTAATTAATCATTTACGGTATTTGTCAGTAAAAGACAGCATATGATCAGAGCTCTCCCACAATAAGGACAATGCTATTACTATGTAGTTCTCTTGGTTTCAAAGCTGCTGAATGATAGGGTGCATTCCTTTGGGCTGATCCACATCAGGATTTATGATATAAGATCACTCGGATCACATGGTGTGTTAAAGGTTCCGATTGATAATGGGCTCCTGGTACTGATGAATCCGTGTTAAGATGGGATTTAGTGGTCTTTTTAAAGCACCATGATTCAGGGGATCTTGGATCAGAAATCCTGATCTGAATGAACTCAAAGGAACACACCTGTAGAATTTCTGCTGGTATACACAATAGACCATTTTATGGTTACAGGTGGAAATGAGGCTGGAGATGACCTTGTGTTGATACTTAATTTCCATAAGAAAAGGAAAGGGGTTTTCATCAAAACAAGCTAAGGTCTACTAAGCTCACAACTGTAAAATGGTCTACTAAGAGCCACAGCTGATTTGTATACACATAGTTCAGTATAGTATTAGAGGTCCAAATTAACAGTAAGGTGTTATTGTATTCTTATGGTTTCCATTCATTTGATCAATATTATTGACCTAGGCTCTGTTTTTACACGTAAATCATTTCGCACTTAACTTTGCTTGTCAATAAAAATTAATAAGCTTACCACAGAAATTGTAGAGCCATTGGATACATCGGAATATGCATCCACATCCTAGAAAAATATATACCAAGTTAATCGAAGACCTGCCGATTAGGAACTGCCTGAAGACGTCGACGTCGATATCCCTTCGCTCTAATTTTAAAGCTAAAAAAATTCAAGGACTTACTAGTCTTCAGATAGATATGTCACTTACCTCTACAGTAAGTCCTGGTATTGGCATGGATATCGACTGTTTCTTAACAGATTTTTTCTTGTCTTCTCATAATGCATGTGAATGCATGAAGCCAGTACTCTTTCTTATCTTATCCTTTACAAAACGGGGCAAGAAATTACCGTAGCCTTTTCATTATGTATTCAGCCAAATCCTGATGAGTCAAGCTTCTTATAACAACACTAAAATTCCTTAACTCGTAAGCAAATCAGGGAATGTTATTCATAAACTCGCAAATTGTGGTCGAGTCGTTTTGGATGTTAGTTAGTTTATCTTCACGACAGTTTTGCGCCTGTCGTAAAGACACACTGTTGTCAGCGGCAAAATATAGTGCCAGTTCCCTCACGATCACTCAAAGACCAAGGCAGGCTTTGGCGAAATGGCCCGTAACCGGTCAAGGTTTTCAAAACACTAGATGACCGGCAGTTCGGTATTTTCAATAAATTTGACTTATCTAAGAATCCCAACCAATCCAAACTATCAAATGCATTATAGATCTCAAGTCTTGCGTTTGGTTTACCCTGGGCTCAGAAAACGAAACCATGTTTTGTGACACTTAGAACGTTTTTTAGGTCGACTGCCGGTCAAGGTTTTTAAAACACTAAATGGTCGTCCTATATTCTCAATAAATTTGACAAATCGAAAAAATCCATCTAATCTACACTATCATAATTATTAATCAAGCGATCCTGAAACTCTTTATAGATCTCAAGTTTGGTTTACGCAGTACTCAGAAAACGAAACCATGTTTAATGGTGACACTTTGTTTCAAACGTTGTGCTACTGCCGTGCTAAGCTGGCTCGACTGTAGCTCGACTGCAGTACGACACTAGCACGACTTGGTTTCAGGCGTCGAATTTAATTCAGTCAAATTCGGAATAGAACGGCTGTTGCCGAAAACAAAACACAAAAATAAAGAAACGGTTTAGCAAACTTTTATATGTATTCTAATGTATTTATAATTTATGAATTGAGTTCGGCACGGCGGTAGCACGACGTTTGAAACCAAGTCGAACTACTGCCGTGTAGCACGGCAGGCCTTGCCGTGCTACACGGCAGTAGCACGACTTGGTTTCAAACGTCGCACTACTGCCGTGCTAAAGTCGAATTTAATTCGATCCGAATTGAGTTCGGCACGGTAGTAGCACGACCCTTGAAACAGGCCTTAGAACTTTTTTCAGGTCGACTGCCGGTCAAGATTGTCAAAACACTAAATGACCGGCAGTCCACCCTGCTAGCAGAGTCGCTTCGATCTTTCCTAGATAACACTGAGATAAGTCGGGAAAGGGGAAAGAGGAAAGAGGAAAGGGGAAAAAGGAAAGAGGAAAGAGGAAAGAGGAAAGGGGAAAGAGGAAAGGGGAAAAAGGAAAGAGGAAAGGGGAAAGGGGAAAAAGGAAAGAGGAAAGGGGAAAGGGGAAAAAGGAAAGAGGAAAGAGGAAAGGGGAAAGAGGAAAGGGGAAAAAGGAAAGAGGAAAGAGGAAAGAGGAAAGGGGAAAGAGGAAAGGGGAAAAAGGAAAGAGGAAAGAGGAAAGGGGAAAAAGGAAAGAGGAAAGAGGAAAGAGGAAAGAGGAAAGAGGAAAGAGGAAAGAGGAAGCTGAGAAAAGTTGTAAGTGTCACAAAACATGGTTTCGTTTTGTGAGGCCAGCGTAAACCACTGACGCTAAACTTGAAATCTATAAAGCGTTTCAGGATCGCTTGACTTTTCTTAATCGACATATGATAGTTTAGATTAGATGGATTTTTTCGATTTGTCAAATTTATTGAAGCTTATTGAGAATATAGGACTGCCGGTCATTTAGTGTTTTAAAAACCTTGACCGGCAGTCGACCTGAAAAAAAACTTAAGTGTCACAAAACCTGGTTCGTTTTTGTCATTTGATCGCTAACGTTTGAACTTAAAAAAAATGTTGTATAGGCACAAAGCCGGAAACCTCATTTGAGGCAGAGAAAATTGCCGGGAGTTAAAACCAGGTTTTAGTACAACAGACGTACGTTTCAGTTTTGAAGTTTTATTCAAATGATAAATACGCTTTGAATTTTATTAAAAAATGATAAATTTTCAGTATACTCCAGTCCAGAATAAAATATAGTTCGCACAAAACGCAGTTTACATCATAGTTTATATGGGTGCAGCAGTGTCAGTATACTCCTGAATAAAATGTAGTTCGCACAAAACACAATTCACATCATAGTTTATATGGGTGTAGCAGTGTTTCCTTATCTCCTTGCACTTGCCTGGAACACTGATAGCCTGACGTCACTCAGACTGTAAAGGATTTTGAAAGTACAAGCCATCTCCCGAGCCCACTTTTCTTTTGCAACCAAATTTATCTATAGTTGATAAAGAGGTTAGAAAACGCAACAAGAAAAAGAGCTGATACTAGTAATAAGACACATTCAGCAGTTGAACGAGAATTAGCGTTACACAGGTCGTAGTCACAGCACATGGAAGTGCATTTGAGGTCCGTGAAGTTTTTGTGATGATCACAAGCTCTCTTCAGCATAGAACAGGTTTCTTTACTGGCGCACGACCTTCTTTCCATATCGACTGCTACACTTTTGTTAGCCACGTAGAGCTGCATTCGCATGCAGTAATTCATTCCCTGGGGACAAGTCAGGTTTGTCTGCTGCTTGGTACACTCCGTAGAGTTGAAAGAACGGCAGTTTGGCGTCATCTTGGGAATACACTGATAGCACTGAATGGAATAGACTGTGGGTATAAGTTAATATAAATAGTATGTCATCATACTGGATTTGTTTTAGGAGACGTTCCTTGACGGTTAGCTTGCGACCAAGCTCTCCATTTCGAGTGTCGAGCCGCGCGAGAGCGCGGGAGCGAGCGCATCCTTTAGCGTGCCGCTCGAGAGTGACTTCACATGAAGGAAACTGGGCCGAGTTAACTTTCGCAAAGACATTTGGGAATGTTAGTGGTGACAGGGTAAAGAAATTGACCAATAGATGAATAGCACGTCGCCAGTAACGATCCCAGAAGTCTTTGCCAAGGCTAATTTGGCCCATTTTCCGGCCCAGTTTCGTTTCTTAGCGACATTCAGTCACTTTTCATCGACTTCAGGACGCGGAGGCGACAAGTTGCAGCAACATGTGGCGGCGACAAGTACGTCGCAGCGACAAATCTACGGAGCCCAGTTAGTACCATCGATATTTTCCTCATATTTTTTCTTTTCCCGATTTTCCTCTCGACCTTTTCCTCCACTTGTTTGCCGCCTTTTTCCCCGACCGTTTTTCTCGAGTTTTTGCTCGACTTCTTTAACCGCTGATCACATACATCAAAGGCTCATTTATGCGTTGAAGCGCTTTGACATTGGTAACTACCGTAAAATTCCGAAAATAAGCACCGGGGCTTATATTTTTCAAAGGCCCTTTTTGAGGGGCTTATTTTTGGAGGGGCTTATCTACGGACGGAAATTTGCGTTTAAAAATCGATTGGACTAGCCTTATAGTTGGAAGTAGATTTACCGTTTTTGCTTTGTTTTACTTTGTATTTGAGGGCAATTTTCCAAGTACAAGCCCCTGGGGGCTTATATTTGGAGGGGCGATTTAACGGAGAGTTTTTTGCGTTAACGGTTTGGGGGGCTTATACATGGAGCGGCTTATTTTCGGAATTTTACGGTATTTGTTTTATTGCTGAAAATGTAATGTCGTGCAGTTTGACCTCCCTACCTTCCTATCTTACAACAAGGCAATGCTAAGCTAGGAAAACTTGTGATTGTTGGATTGGAAAAATCAAAATTGTTTCAGCCTCACAATATTCAGGATGAAATAATAAACCAAAGTGACTACGAAGGTAAAATTACTTTCAGCTTCATCGATCAGATGCACCTCGGCTGCTTAACGTCAACACCCTCAGACACTCAGCTCAAACACAGTTCTGCTCAAGTTTCCAAAATACGTTCCTTTAGTCATTCTCGCCCTTTTTATACCTGTTAAACCTCATTCGACTCGTAAATCACCGGTACAGTTTTCAAATGTTGGTGCCAATGAGCAGTTCCCTGTTGATGTCGTAAAATGATAACACTTTATCTCCGAGTCAAATAAAACAAATCATTCAAAAATCAGAAAAAAATCTAAAGATCCTTTTACCTTGGTATCATGCACCCTACTTTCATCTCTCATGGAAGCAGACTCTTTCGGGTTCGGATTTCCCCAACCCCCCTGTTCCCCTCCCCACAACCTTGCCGCGCAGTCCCTGATTTCCACTACCTCGCAATGCTATCTCTACGTATCGACAACAACCTCTATAGTGACACTACGCTTTCCTCGCTTCCCAAGACCACAAAAATTGAGAATCAACGCTCTTTAAATGTCACACACTTTATGTAAAAACCGTGGGTTAACCCGACAAGCAGCAAGATTTCTTTGAATGTTGTTGTAAGATCAGTGTCGGATCCAGGGGAGGGGCCTGAAGGGGCCCACCCCCCCCCCCCCCCGCTCGCCGCTTATTTTTAGACCAAACTTAGGTCCGAAGGGCCGGAAGATAGGAAGATGGGAAGGTGGGGAGGTCAAACTGCACGACATTACATTTTGAGCGATAAATAAAATAGTTACAAAGCCGAGAATCAAACCTGGCCATGTGTAAGCACTTCTACACATGAATGAGCCTTTGATATACCTTATTCTTACTAATTTTCGCGCGTACTTAATTTCGCGAATATTCGGGAGCCGGATTTCGCGAGTACTAATTTTCGCGATTGCGAACAAAATTAGGGGGAAAGCGTAATAAATTTCGTGTCATTGTTTTTATTTTTGGAAATTCTGAGCAGAGGGCACTTGTCACAAATCAATAAAACTATATATTTCAAACAAGTCAAAGCAAGATAATTATTATTGTAAACTTACAACTGCCCTACATATAAGCGTATGAACAAGACAAATTATAACTGTTTGCTGTGTATGTTGTCGATGGAATGTACGGTTCAGTGCTTTAAGATGTTCAGTAAGTGTGGGCTGTAAAAAAAAACACCCGTACTCAGACCATTTTAAAAATTATTGTTTTGTGTTCGAAAATGGTATTAAATTTCGCGAATTTTTTAAAATCTCGAAATTAGTAAGAATAATGTATGTGATCAGCGGTGAAAGAAGTCGAGCGAGAAAAAAGTCGAGAAAGGAAAAATCGAGCACGAAATTTGCATCACACTGTGCTCCGTACAAATCGCTTCGTGTCTACTGGAAGAGTTTTGTGAAAATCTTCTTCTCTGCAACATAATTTTGTCGCCGCAACAAGTCACAGAAAATCAAATCAGACAAAATTTGTGCGCCTTGTTGCGGCTACAAAATC